TATTTTAAAGCAAGATTTGAAGAATTATGTAGTTCTTTGGTACGAAAAATGTCTCATTATTTCCCAATGAGGGCTTTGTTCAGTGGATACTAGTCGAATACCTGCAATGTGCCAGGCCTCAGTATCAGACATCATTTAGCTTAGTGTAACTTAACTGTGGGTACTTCACATTTTATGAAAAGAAAATCTGATTTGAATACACATTAGTAGATTATCAAAATTATAAATAGAATAAAAAGGCTCGTGATAAGGTGTTCATGATGGGGAATGTGGCCATGAGTCAGGGCTTCCCAATAGCTGAGTTTGGAGAGCCTTCAGCCCTCCTGCAGGCTCCCCTAGTTAGCTGGGTCATTAGTTACCTGAAACAGTCAGCTAAGATCATTTCATGACTGTGTTTCAGTTTCCTTTGTTTAAAGCAAGAAATAGAGAAAAAATTTGAGTTGAATCTACATTAAAATATTAATAATCTGCCTATATCATTTATTATATATATATCATATTATTAAATACTGGTATTAGTATTATTACCCATGTAATAATACACAAGTGTACAGTCATTATAATTTTCCTCTTCTCTTCCCCCCTCCCCTAATTTTAATGTAAATTATAGGAATTTATACATAGACATGTAATGATGTGATTAGTTGATTGTGATCACATTTTTTGCGACTTTTCCATTTAATATGGCTTGGAGATTTACATATTAAAATGTATACTTCTACCCCATTCTTTTTAATACTGCACAGTATTCCATAGTATGAATATATCATAATTTATTTAACCTTTGTCCTATATGATGAGCAATAAGATCTTGTGATAGATTTTCAAGTCATAAGAATTCCCTGGTAATCTTACTGCCTGGCTTTCACTTCGTGCTCTTGCCTCTCACATTTACCTACTGTCTCCATCATTTATTGTCTTACTTATGCAGCTATCCCAGTTCGTAATAGCCTCGCCTTCCACTGTAGCTCCTAAAGAGATTATGCTTCTTCTGATAAACCGATACTTAAGTACTTTTTGTAGTTTTTACATTTGTATTGACTTTTATTCTCAGAAAAAAAGTTAAAAATAAGTATACATAGAAACAGAATATAACCTGGTCCATTTCATCATGCAGAGGCCTGGGAATCTGAATAATTCAAGAAGGCAACATGGGTATGATACTGTTTAAAGAATCGTGCTTGGGGATTCCAGTGTCCTAAATTCACACAGTAGTTGTTTCTTTGGATTGAGGCTTATCTTTAAAATGCCTGTTAATAAAATACCTGTTAAAAGGGGCTTCTGGGTGGGTCAGTTGGTTGAGTGTCTGACTCTTGGTTTCCGCTCAGGTTGTGATCTCGTGGGTTGTGGGATGGAGCCCCGTGTGGAGCCCCGTGGCAGGCCTCCACACCAGCGGGGAGTCTGCTTGAGATTCTCTCCTTCTCGCCCGCCCTCCCCCGCTCATGTGCTCGCTCTCTTAAATAAATAATAAAACCTGTTAAAATACAACACTGAAGCTCAATAATTATGCAGATTTTAATTGTGACAGAGAAATTGCTAGAAGCTTTAAAATAGAGTGGGTACAACACAGAGTGTCCCAGAACCACTGGCCAATCCTAAAAGACGTTAGAAGTCAAGTGTGGAGTTAGAACCCTGAGCTTCTCCCTTCACCACTCACCTGCTGCATCTGAGATGGACATGCTCACTTTATATTCGGGGTGGTTTTAATGCCTGATCAAAGGCCGTGGAGCAGAGATGTGGCCTCGCTGTGCTTCACTACACAAAGGGGCCGCTCTTCGCAGTCCCTCACTGTTACAGGTTCCAGGGGTGATACGGCTCTCTCCCCCTTGACTCCTCACAAATGTACGTACAACACTCACACACGCACAAACGGCTAAGAAGCACGTATTGCCCCAAGTCCCCCAAAAGGTGCCTCGCTGCCCCCCGTAGGCCCATACTGATCTTGAGTAAACATCATACTCACAGGATACACGGCTTGTTACACTCAGACTCAGGAAATTTGTCTTGTTGGAAGGTTGTAATTTCATGGCGGAGTCTTCTTAAATTGCTTGCACTCTGTGGAGTCCGAAGCTATTTCTAAAGGAGAACATGATCACAAGTTTGAGGCTGAGGTAAAAAAATGTCTACTTAGCTGCAGCTGATGGGCTGCACAGCAACTGAAACAAATGATCAGAACTCTCTCAGCTGCAGCATGAATTATGAACTCTGGGAACTCAGACTTTTTAAAATAAGCCAAACCATGGGAAGGGAAATATATCTGCTCTGTATGGAAAACTTTTATTTTGTCAATTGCTGAATAGGTGAAAACTTCCCCAGAATATTTTCCTGAGCAAACTCTTTAGTTCCTTCCTGTCTTTCTATATTAACCTTTTTTTTTTTCTTTAATAATTTGCCTTTGTTTTCTTTTATTTTTCTTTCACTAGAAACTCAGTATTTGGTTTTGGACAGAGCAGAGGAGAAGCAGATGGTCAGGAAGCAAAACGGACCAAATTCCAGTTCCATTTTGGTCTGGGTGGAACCCTGTTCCTCCTATTTGCCAATTAATTTGGTCTTCCCACCTCAGAGTTTGATGGTTAATCTGTAAAATGAGAAAATGTCACTGATCCAGTTATCTAACCATCCACCTTACCTTTCTATAAATTTCTACTCAAAATAAGCCATGATCTCAGTCCTGCGATGAAGGAGGCAGACATGTTCATAGTTAAAAAATGGTAGGACGTGTACTGTATGTATCAGAGGTTGAAGAGAGGGCTATGTGAGTAACAACAAAAACAAAACCAACACCCCTTTCTGAAGTCTGGGAATTTCCCCTTTATTTTGTTAACAAAACCACCCCAACCATGTAAACCCACTGTCTTCTTATCTCCTCACCTCCAGCCCCACCTCCCATCCCTCTGAAGTGACCAGTTGCCAGTGGCCTAGAATGTCTCTTCTACAAATTTCTCTTATAAAAGTATATAAATGTGCAGATTACACATTTCCCTAAAAAGGACCAGCCTATGCATTTTGCTCTGCATCTTTGCTTCTTTCCTCACTTTATATGCTTTATACCAATCAGTCACTTCCAGCCTGGCTCCCTCCTTCCCTCGCATCTCTCACCTATTATCACCTCTTCAGAGAGGTGTTTCCTGATCATCATATTTAAATAATCTCTCCCTCCCCCACCCTCACAATGTCTCCATATAACTGTTTTATCATGATTCTTCCAGTTCTCCCTCGCAAATTTACTTTTCCAAAATACCCTTGGCTAGTCTCAAATATTTATGTCATATCTTGTTTAAGTAGGTATTTCCATGCAAATTATTAAATTTGATCTTTTTAATATATGTTTTTCTGACCAGTTTTCAGCTTCTGTGAATTGCCCATTTACAGTATTTTGCCATTTTCTGTTGGCTCATCTGTCATCTCTGTCAACTCGTAGGTGCCGTGTGTCCCATGTAGCTGTTATCTTTCCTAGTTTCCCTTTTGTCTTTTAAGCTAACTATTTTTGCCATAGAAAACTTTACATTTTTATAGTCAAAATGACCTTTTAGGCTTCTGGGTTTCCAGTTTTGAATACAAAAATTTCTCCTAACCATGGCTGAAACATATTCTCTTGATTGTTTTACGGTAACGTTTTAATTTTTTTAAGAGGTTAAGTCTCTTATCCAGCGGGAATTTGTATTTATATGTAATAAGATGTAGTGATTTAGCTCTGTTCTGCCAAATAGATTTTCATGTATGTCAATGCCATCTTAAATAAGCGCTCTTTCTTTCCCCCACTGATTTGAAGTTTAAATATATGACTTTGATTTAAACATAGTCATTTAAATACATAATATATAATATATAAAAGTAGATACATTTGGACTTACATATATTCCATGTATGTGTATATATGTGTATAAATTTAAATCTATTTCTTGCTCTGTTCTTATCCCTGACCTTTTTGTCTAATCTTATATATGTATTTCTTATATTTTTATATGTCTGTCCATATAACTTTTATTATGATACTTCTAGGTAAGTTTTAAAATCTTATAAGATAAATTCTCCCTCATAAAGCTATTTTTCCAAAATACTCTTGGCTAATCTCAAATATTTATTATTTCATATGATTTTAAAAATCATTTATTTCAGTTAAACCAACCAGCATTCTGCATAAAATCTGGCTCTTGGAAGAAGACCCATCTGGCTGCACTGTAGGGGATGAGTTGGAATAAGGAGAGGCGAGTGGCAGGGAGATGGTTAGGAGGTGACTCAGTGATCCAGGCAAGGCAAAGAGGGCTCAGACAGGGGCTGGCAAGACAACAAGCCTTTGCAACAGTGGAATCAGCTGGACTTCGACCTTTCGATGTGAAGTATCCAGGAAAGTGAGTCAAACTATCGGACAGGAGGACTAGAAAACTGTAAGCCCTTTACCAGAGTTAGTATAAAGGGGAAGAAGTTAAGTTTGGAAGTGGACAGAAGGAAAGATGTATCCATTTGTGGATAGGTTGAGTTTGATGCGTGAGGGTTATCGGTGCATAGACAGAAATAGGTGATGACAATATTAATCATTTGGACAATTTAAAAATATCTTAAAGAGGTTTTCAAATAAAGTTCTAGAGCCTTTCAGACATCCTGAAATCCTTACTCACTTTCTTGTGAGGCCCTGCTTTTTCCTGACTCATTCCTACTTTGGCAGTTTGAGGGCAGATTATTGTAAATAATCACAGAATGAGGTCTCTCTTCTTAAAGAGTAGAGCTCTGTTCATATGAGGTAAAATTTCAGTTTCTGAAGATGTTTGCTCCTCTTCGGTAGAAATATTTTTCTACAAATACTGTATATGAATAGCTTTATAATATCTTTACAAATCTTTATATTATTTTTAAAGTCACTGTCGCTTTCTCTCCATCACAGAAACTCTGTGGAGACCACTGGATACAAGTCATTTTATCTATCAAAATTACACATCAGTTTATCTTAAGGTATTAGGTAGATAGGCTTACTCTCATGGCTTTTTCATTCGTCTTTTCAGAACTTGACAGCCCAGAAGAGCTAGGGAAGAAGCGGATCTGCAGGATTATCACAAAGGACTTCCCCCAGTATTTTGCCGTGGTTTCTAGGATTAAGCAGGAAAGCAACCAGATTGGTCCTGAGGGCGGAATTCTGAGCAGCACCACTGTGCCCCTGGTCCAGGCTTCTTTCCCAGAGGGTGCTTTAACCAAAAGAATTCGAGTGGGCCTCCAGGTAACGTGTGAAAATGTTGTTTCTTTGGCATATGTAGAGAGTGTGAGAGCATGCTCCACTCAGAAAACAGTTGTTGTAACTGTAACTCACCCCAATGATATTGCTAATCAAAGCACTATGCCATTTTGGGGATCATTTACCAATTTCAAATGAAAAGCATGAAGTATAAAGTGAGCTTGGTGGCTTATTCCATAAGGTACGTATTTTAGGGTTTTTCTTTTAAAAGTATCACTTGGTTTCTGATGAAAGATTGTTTTGTTGGGGCACCTGGGTGGCTCGGTCATTGGACGTCTGCCTTTGGCTCGAGTCATGATCCCAGGGTCCTGGGATCGAGCCCCACATGGGGCACCCTGCTCCGCGGGAGGCCTGCTTCTCCCTCTCCCACTCCCCCTGCTTGTGTTCCCTCTCTCACTGACTCTCTCTGTCAAATAAGTAAATAAAATCTTAAAAATATATATATTAAAAAAAAAGATTGTTTTGTTAACCATAGGTTATTGGTATTCAGAGTGACAAGAGCACCAAAGAGCAAATACACCATTAAAGAAACAAACCACATTTGACTTGGTTTATAAGACGCCATTTCATAAAAATCAGTAATAAGGAAACTTGCAAGCTTTCAGATTTTGATTGAAGTAGATCATAAATACTGGGTTTTATCCAAACCATTTGGAACTTGTTTGGGTTTTGGAAAGCTAACTGAAAATCATGGCAAGCGTCATCTTTCTTATATTTATTTGTTTCAGTTAGATCTATTGAAAAAAGAAAAAAGTAAGGAAAGTAATTTAATTTGTGTCAGTTAATATAGTCATTAATAGTTTAACTGAGGCTCTTCTTATGAGGTTTTTTAGAGTGAAGTACTCTAAGTGCTGGGAAGGCCTTCCGTAACCACTTGGAGCTAAGGAGACTGCCTTATAGTTCAGTGACATGAAGTTCCCTTAGCAAAGAAGCCAAAAGGAAGCCATTAGGTTTGGTAATCTCGAACTGAAATCTTAAATCCCCTTTGTTACTTAACTCTGAAGACTCCAATTTTTACCTGGGCACAAATCGCCTATGTGACGTTTTACTGGATGTCCTGCATAGGTTTAAAATACACTAGACTCAATATTTGTATTTGCTGACGTTTACTTTGGATTAGCCTGAAAGACTTCTCCGTGGTGACAACGGATTTCCTGTCACACAAGCTCATGTCGTCCATATTCTGTTGAGGAAATACACCGACTGGTTCCTGCTCCATTGTGAGGTTGTTTGGGTTCTTTTTTTTGCGCCCTCCTGAAATTGTGAGAAAGGATGAAGAAGAAAGACTTGGGCGGGGCGGAGGGGGGTCTTTTTTTTTTTTTTTTTTCTCCTCCTCACTTAAAAAGTCAATTTTCCAATGAGAGAAAAATGTTAAACTTCCACCTAAGGTCCTTTCTCTGTCTTTAGGCCCAGCCTGTTCCTGATGAAATTGTGAAAAAGATCCTTGGAAACAAAGCAACATTTAGCCCAATCGTCACTGTGGAACCAAGAAGAAGGAAATTCCATAAACCCATCACAATGACCATTCCGGTGCCCCCGCCCTCTGGTGAAGGCGTAGCCAACGGGTACAAGGGGGATAGCACGCCGAATCTGAGGCTGCTCTGTAGCATTACAGGTGTGGTTGACTTGTTTCTGCCCTTGCTGGTGAGGCTAGCAACTTGCAGTGACTCTGTACGAACATATAAAGCCTTTGAAACATCCATGCCCACTTTATAAGACTAGAAAAAAAATAAAACATTTTACTTGTCCATCACCCCATCTGTATTGTCCCTGTACCTTTCTTTAAGATGCTGAGACCATGACTCATTTCAAATTCAGTGATATCATTTTCCCTGTTATTAAGTGTAGTATTAATAATAGTGCTCTTTTGGGGCGCCTGGGTGGCTCAGATGGTTAAGCATCTGCCTTCGGCTCAGGTCATGATCCCAGGATCCTGGGATTGAGCCCCGCATCGGGCTCCCTGCTCCGCGGGAAGCCTGCTTCTCCCTCTCCCACTCCCCCTGCTTGTGTTCCCTCTCTCTCTGTGTCACTCTCTGTCAAATAAATAAATAAAATCTTTAATAAAAAAAATAATAATAATAGTGGTCTTTTAAGGTTATTGAAATAGTATTGAATCTACTAGAGCATCTAGGTCATTTCTCAGGGACCTAGACAGAGGTGGTGGACCTAGTAGCACCCTTTAGACTGCAGGAAATTGGACAGACTTTGGAGAAAACAGGCCCCCACAGAGCACCAGGCGTAGGGCAGAGCAGAGGACATGATTCTTCTCACCACTCAATTCCCGAGTTTAATCCAATAGACAAAATCTGCAGGGTCAGGAGAACACATTTTGTGATAAGCACCTGGAATCCAGAGCTTATTTCATTTGATCAACCTAATATGATTTTTAACAGAAAGTCCTAAATTAAGATAGGTTGTTTTTTTTTGTTGTTTTTATGAGTAGTTTTAATGGCTGATTCCTCTTTGTACCCTGGAAAATTACATGATTGGGGCAGTACAAAATCAGCTGCTGCTTAACTTTCTTGATAGTTCTTGTCTTTTTTAAAAAATAAAAAAAATAAATAAGAATTATATTGTCTTTCTGAACAACAGTTCTTTGCACTTATAAATTGCACTTACAAAATGCACTTGATAGCCTGTGGTTGCCCCACATTTAAACCATTCATCAGTAGCCAGAGACACCGAGAAGTAATTTTTAAAAAATATAATGTCTTACAAGGAGATCACTATAAGGCAGTAAAACCACAGAAGGAGAGTAGAGAGGAAAACCACCCTTAGAGCCTGCCATAATTGAACGTGCTGAAGTCTTGCAAGTTCATGGCAATGCCAGAAGAACAAGACGATGATGAAGATTTTACAAGGAACAACTCCCATGATAAAATCAACATATCTGCTCTTGTTCTCCCAGGGGGCACCTCGCCTGCTCAGTGGGAAGACATCACAGGAACTACTCCCCTGACGTTCATAAAGGATTGTGTCTCTTTTACAACCAATGTTTCAGCCAGGTATGGAAATAATGGATTCCAAAAAGCACTAAGGAATTTGTTTTATTACCTTTTGGAAAGTGAAAGTTTTTGTGCTCAATACTAGTATGATTATTTTTTTTTAATTTTGATGGTAAAATTGGGCCTAACTCAGAAATCTAAAATTGACTGGCATAAGTCACCTTACCCAGTTCTCACAAGGAGCTATATGGTGCTAGACTTGATTCTTCTAGTTCTTAGCAGTTTCTGCACTTGTCTGTTGATTGTTATGGAAATCTGGCCCCATTTACTAAAGGAGGCAACTTGTTTTTATTTGTTATGCTTTCAAAGAAAAAAGACTGATAGAATTTCCATTTCTCTCTCATTTTCTTCCATAAAATTCTTGCTCCATCCAATGTAAAATAAGAGATTAAACTCTTAAGCAGGAGTAGAAAGGAAGGCTAATCATGACTAAATATAAGAGGGTGGGGGAACAGAATCTTATGGGAAGGAAAAGAGAGAGAAAAAAAAATCCTTAGCCTTTCCTCAGCAAAATTATAATAAATAATAAATGTAGACCTTCTGTAAACAGAGTAAACATCTTTGCTGTTTCTTTAAATTAACAAGTTAATGTTTTGGTATAGTTCCCTTATATGCTCTAATTTTTTAATGGTGAATTTTTTTTAAGATTTAGCTTTTAAATCACCTCATTTTCATACTTCTGTTTTGTTTTTGTTTTTCTCAGATTTTGGCTCGCAGACTGCCATCAAGTTTTAGAAACTGTGGGGTTAGCCACACAACTATACAGAGAATTAATATGTGTTCCATATATGGCCAAGTTTGTTGTTTTTGCCAAAATGAATGATCCTGTAGAATCCTCCCTGCGCTGTTTCTGCATGACAGATGACAAAGTGGACAAAACTTTAGAGCAGCAAGAGAATTTTGAGGAAGTTGCAAGAAGCAAAGATATTGAGGTACCTTGTTCACAACCAGCCCGTTCCATTACATTCCCCAGATGTGGGGTTTTATTTTAAGGTCATAATGGCACTCACTGGAAATATCAAGCACATTCTTGATTTCAGGTTTTGATTTAAAAATTTGATATAGATTTATTCTCAAATTATTTTATGTGTCTTTGAGGTTATCTTGGTTACAGTGTAGTACTAATGAATCTACATCATGGTCTATACTTCTCTGTGGTGACTCGAGTTGTCTTATTTTTAGGGTCACTGTCTTTAGCACATTACTATGATTTTCCTTTTTCAAACCCAGTGAAAGTATCTGAGTTTAAAAAAAAAAAAAAAACCCTTTCAAAATCTGTATGAAGAAGTGATGTCAGCACTTTCTCAAAGATGTCTAAAGTTGCTAAAATAGAATTGAATGTATAATTCTGTCTTGTACATATGCATGATTCAGTTTCCAATCACAGTAGTTGAATTGTGAGCCAACAGAGTTCTTTTTGTGGCAAATAACACCATAGAAGCAATTTCCTAATAAGGAGACAAATGTGACATAGAAATATGTCAGTCTTTTAATATTATGTGACTTAAAATCTCAAAATTCTTTCAGCTGAAATTAACATTTAATTATGTATTTCTTTTACTCTAAAAGGTTCTGGAAGGAAAACCTATTTATGTTGATTGTTATGGAAATCTGGCCCCACTTACCAAAGGAGGACAGCAGCTTGTTTTTAACTTTTATGCTTTCAAAGAAAATAGACTGCCATTTTCCATCAAGGTAAATCATCAACAGAGACTCTGATTAAAAAAGAAAAAAATGCTCTTAGGAATAAAAAGAAAAGAGTCTAGTGATTTATTCAGTTTGAAATATCCCACCAAACTTGAATTCAGAGGAACAAGGTCAGATTTTGTCCCGGTTCTCCCCGAGTGTACTTTTGAGCCAGGAAAGCTTTATAATTAGTAAAAAAAAAAAAAAGAAAGAATCTTTACCTTTTAAACATTTAAATGATTATTTATGTTCAAGCAGATGTTTGTAAGACCAAACAATCTAGAATAATAAAATGCATCATATCTGGTTAATGCTCAGTAATCAAATAATGGATGAAATCCAAACTCAGTATTTAAGTTCCATCTTCATTTCTGAATGCCCAAGAACATTCTGGAGAGACCATCTTCCTCCTCAGAGAACAGAAGGACATGGGACAACTGTTCAGTGTGATGATTATTTGCTCTTATTACTGTTGCTAAAACCAAGGCCTTGGGAAAAAGAAATTATTGGACAGGAAGAAAATGCATATAACCCAGACTATACAACAGAATGCCAGGGAAACAGGCAGACATAGCAATCCTGGGTCTGATCTCGGAATCGGGCATTCTAAATCCCACTGAGTTCACACGTGACCACCGCCATTGACCTGTAATTGTTACCATCATCTTTTCCCTTTACTTTGCCTGCTTCTTGAAGGGCTCTGTAAAATAAACCTGTTTAACTCCTGAGTCCTCAGAAAAGTCTCTTTCTATAACTGTCAACCACCTAAATTCTTCTAGATTAGAGACACCAGCCAGGAGCCCTGTGGTCGTCTCTCTTTTCTGAAAGAACCAAAGACAACAAAAGGACTGCCTCAAACAGCTGTTTGCAACTTAAATATCACTCTGCCAGCACATAAAAAGGTATCTTTTAATACTGGTTTATTGTAACTCTCTTCCCCCGGTCTTGGAGAAGTGGGCCCTCGGTATGCAATTAAGGAATGCTTTGTAACATGATTAAAGTTCTTAAAACTTGAGTTTTATTAGTCTCTTTGCGTAGATTAAGTCTTGTTACTGTGGTGTCAGATTCTTATGGTTTGTATGATGGAGTCCTCTGTATATTGCTTCTGCTTCTGCTGCTAGCTCATAGATTCTTATGCTTTCGGATAACGTCACACATTAATTTGCCATGGATGTATAGTTCTTGATATTTTGTGTTGGCTTCTTTTGATTTGCTTTGCTTTGCTTTCTTGATTCCGCTTGCATTTTGTGCTCCCTACTCAGCCCTTTTCATATCCTGATATTCTTTTCCCTGCTGTCCGTTATAATACTCCTTGTCTCTGCAATGCATCTCGGAACCAAAAGGAAACAGAGTCAGATCAAGATGATGAGGTAATATGAACACTTCTGCTTTTACTCTATCAGAGCTAGAATAGAAATTAAATCTGTATAAAAGAAGTTGCAGAGGGCTGAAGTGTGGGAAACGTATTCTATTTTTGCAGATCTTAGTGTAAGTGAGGTAAAGGGTATACATTTTTCTTAAAGATTGGTTTGATCTTCCTCCACATATACGAGATTACTTCAGGGCATTCAGCAATATAATCCAGCTAATGATTTAAAAAGAGGAACTAACGTTCTTTCAACATTTTAAAATGTAGTAGCTTGGCATGTATCAATACACATTTGTTCATATCTTCACCTAGTATCCACTCTGTGTAACATTTAAATCAAGAGCATGAGTAACATAAAATTTTATTGTATAAATCAAGTTGTTCTATTTAATACAAAGTATGTGTTCCATGGCTACTGATAAATATTTGGTATTCTATTTGAAGAAAATTATCCTGGCCATTTTTAAGAGTACTGTTGTTCCATTTGGTTTTGAATGAATTTTTCCTTACAAAGGCATCTCCTACTCTTTCTCCAAGTTATAGGATAATTGGATTTTTAAAACTCAGTACTAATAAATAGAATCCATATTTCTAATAAAGCCATTAACCTTTTTTTAACCTCACCTACACTCTATGCCTTTTAACATATAGAAACAATAGCAGTAACTGGAATGAGACACTGTGTGCCCCTTTTCCTTGAATGTACTCACATAGAGTGACTGTACATCATGATATATGTGCTTTCACTACGAATGAATTTGGGGACATTTACTGCTCAGCATCAGAAGTCTCTGTAACGCTCGTCTTGTATTTGTAGTCCCCTGTAGTCTGCTGTGTTGGTGCTAAATGATGGTAATTTGGTTGAGACATCGGGGTGGGGTTGTAGACCCACAATAGGAAATTAACATTTTCATGAGGAAAATCCATCAGAAGAAAAATAAAGATAAACGAGGTATCCACATGCCATCCTACAAAATGTTTCAAAACTATGAAAATGTCACAAGGAAATTGGATAGAGTCTCTTTTTCCTTTTCCCTTTTCAGGCCGAGAAAGCAGATCGACGACAGAGCTTTGCGTCTTTAGCTTTACGTAAGCGCTACAGCTACTTGACTGAGCCTGGAATGAGTGAGTTTTCTAACACATCTACTAATCTATGTGGATTTTTATAAGAAGAGGCATTTTTTTTCTGTACAAACTGAATTTGGGGCCATTTGAAAACCCAATGGCTTAAGAAAAATTGCAGGAAAATTTTATCATGAAATCTAAGTGATATTTTGTACATAGTTAAAGATATGAAGTACAAACTCCCTTAGATCATAATTTCAAAACAGTTTTTTTAAAAAAAAACCATTACCTCTTTTTTAAATTAGAAACATCTACTCATTACTTGTCTTTAAAAACCTTGATTTCACTTTGATTGTTAAGTAGGAGATAACATACCAGTGTTGCTTCAGATCTATGCTCAAAAGGGAAAATATTTATTTTTATATACATGGGTTGGTAGAAAGAATGATAAAGTAACTTTGATTGTCGTCTCATTTTTCTTAATATAGGTAGATCATTATATCTTAGTCCTGATTCTCCTTCTTCCCAGTTTGCAAGAATTAGATTTTCCTACCGCCTTGAGGTAGCACTTCTATACTGATTCCTTATTTCCTCCTTCCTCTCACCCCAACCCCTCCCCGCCCTGCCCCTGGCCTTTATTAAACACCAGTTCCAAGGCTAGTCTTCACTAGACTGGCTAAGCCCTTTTCTTCTCTCAGTGATTGTTTTGGTTCATTGTTAACTGGCTTGCAAGTATCAAGGTATAAATCCACTCAGTCGTATTCATTCATCTGTCTCCCTCCCCACCTCATCTTTTCCTGTTCCCTCAGCCCTCCAGAGAATCCCTCCACCGACAGGAGCTAAGAATGCTGAGAACAGCACTGTGTTTGATCCATCAGAAGAGGATTTTTACAAAAATTATTGTTAAGTTAGCAAACAGTTTCTAGCTGTTTTCCATTACTCACCGTTAACTTGACTCAGGGGAGATTGGAAATTTACCAGTAAGAGCCACAACTTTGGTTTTTCCCAGCTTTCCTGAATTCTTGTTTCTGTGGGCCAAGATAGCATATTAAATGTGCACAAGGAAGACTCCACTATTTAGCTTAGATGGTCTTAGCATAGTCTTCTAGAGTCTAGCTCCTTGACTACTAGGGAAGCTTTTATATTCAGACACAAAATGGAGAGCACAAGAGAAATGAAATGCTACCACTTCATGAATGTTCTTCCAGATCACAGTTTTTGCCTCTAGCATAAATGTCTAAATCCTTCCAAAACCATAAGGGCTAAGTTTAACTCCTATTATCACAAAGCAGGGACGGTATATGTGTATATCTAGATGGTTTTTCAGTATGACTAAATCTGCTGGGTAGAAGTTTTCTGTGGAATACTGTTTTGCCCCAGAGCTAAGGCTCTCAGCCTTAGCTGGTTGGGACTCCTAGGCAATATCCTTAAGATTTGAACGGTCTCTTATGACCCGCTCCTTTAGGTCCAAGGCACCTCTGGGCAGGTGAGCTCCCATATGATTCTGGTCCCTAAAGTATTTGGGGGGGGGATATATGAGCTTAAGGTGAGGTCTGTGCTAAGTCAACTAAGTTTTTCCCACTTGTGAAAGTATTGTTATTTTTTAGTTAGTTTCAGTTATAGTATACTATGTGGCTTATCTTCCTTGACTTTTGAGAGAAGGAAGAGAGTACTTTTCTCAGTTTTATGAAAGGGAGCATAATGGTGGTAAACAGAGGAATGGAAAGGACTAAGATGGGACTATAAGGAAACTAAGGAGATGCTGTGGCCCCTTAATTGGTGTTAGAACTCCAAGTGATACAGCTTTTCCTTCAGTACCCTGTCCTCACAAACCACACTGCCCCCAAATAAAGAAAGAGTCTGGTGTAGTTCAGTGCCTGACATCCAGAACCTCCCAGAAATTTTCTTTGTTATGAAGGGCATCACAGAGTATGTGTCATTAAAGCATAAAATGTGTAACCGATCAGGAAATTGGCTGCTTCACGAGAAGTATAAAACCATACATGTGGTTCAGAGGACTTCTTCGCTTGATGGAGCCAGCCTTCAGTGGTGAAGGAGAGATGCTTTGCCAGTTTCTGGTAGTTATAAAAATAAATTCTCTTGAGATATTGGACTGAGCCCAAGTCACTGAATTGAAGTGACCCAAACCTTCCATTTGCACTGTGGTGTTTCCAAAAGAGTTAAGCAATATAATATTGAGAATTATGACTAGGAAGGGCTAACAAACGGATGAGTTTTTCCTCAGTTCTTCCACATTTCTTTAGAATAATATGTAAGCTTAGAAGAGGACATGTTCTGAATGTCTGAATTTAAATGTACACTAGGAATGAAAATCTTCACCCTTGTGGGAGTAGCTGCTAATCCAAGGACTGGATTATAGCAATGGCCCGGGCACAGCATGAAGAGGAGCATAAAAGATGAAGCAGATTCTCATTTCCTCTTCGCTTGTCACTGTTATTCTGCACCAGTGCTTTCTGGGAGTGAAACTGTACTCAACTTTGACATAGACCGCTAGCCCTTGGCAGGCATTCCAAATCTCTGTGACCAGCTCAGTTTGTTTGTTAGAGCTGCAGAAGTAGAGAGGACCAAGTGTGTGTTTGCTCTCCCCGGGCAAGTGTGCTTACCTCATTCGTGTGTTTCTTGTCCCATTGCCAGATGAATGCTGGTATTAAATCCATCTTTCCTAGTGGTAGGTCTGCCTCATGGCTGCTCCGGTGTTTGGGGTATCTATGAGTCCCATGACCATTCTGGGAAGGCACCAGAATTGGTAGCTTTGCCATGGATAAAAATGTATATGGATAATATACTGTATCCCACTGCAGATACTTCAATATGGGGTGTTAAAAATATGACTGCTTTTTAGATTTTCCCATGATACCTTTTGAGATTTGAAAGTATAATCAATTGTGAAAACAATATCCAAAATAAACGATGTGCTTTTATCCATAATGAAGATAACTCCAGATGTGGATATATTTAGTTGCAGATGTATTTTTAATATGCAGTATTAAATATTTTCCAAAAGTCTCAAAAGGTACCAAGATTTTGCATCTCATGGAAAAAGTGTACTCTTCTTTCGAAATGCTCTTGTGGAAATACTTTTAAAGTTTATATATTGTGCATAATACGGCCTAAAAATTGTATTACTTCATTGGCTTGTTTGCCATGATATTATTGCGCATGATAAAATGTTTTCAGTTGCTTTGCTTGCTTATGGTAACCATGACCCATATTTTCTGCTTTTTTTTCCCCTTTGTGTGTATGTACACATGCATTTTTAAATCATTTCATACTACATTTTCTTTTTCCTCACCAAAAGGAATATGCTGCATGGAAAAAATAAATGCAAACATTCCTTTTCTTTGTTTTTTTTTTTCTTTTAAAGTTCTGACTCAGAAAATTTCTTGCTCTTATTGGCTTTTTATGGGTGTGAAGCATAACCGAATTGTGCATGGAAGGTACAGATTTAAAATCCAGTGGCTTCACAGTTTGCATATCAGTTGCCTGTCACCTAAAAGTTACCTTGGATTCTGCATGAAATAGGCTTGAGTAGTTTTCTAGAAAAGAGTTCTAGATATTTAATGTACAGTGACACACATCGATCCGGTTCTAAGTAGGTGCAATCAGTATCACCGAAAGGCTCAAGGAGAGGGAACGTTAGACCTTGCTAAAATGAAAGTTAACATGGTTGCACAAAACGAACTTGTACCTATACAGGCAAAGCAGAATGGCTGCTGATATTTCGAAACCAGCACATAAGAAAGTCAATAGGAAGTAAGGGAACGGTTTTCCATTGTGGTTATTTTTCTCATCATTAATTCTTTCCTCATGTTTTCTGTTTCTCATTGTTGGCCTCCTTGGTTGCGATGTGCTTTTTCTGTCTTTCATTTCACATTGCTCTGTTTTTTTGTTTGTTTGTTTGTTTATTTTTAACTTTGGACCAGTTATGTCTGTGGAATTTTTTTCCCCCTCTTTTACTTTAATTGTTCCTTTTGCCTCTTCCATTCTAAATCATGCAAACAATTGTACTTGCTTTTGTAATATTTCAAAGTTTACTGACCAATTTTTTTCTCTGGTCTCTCTGTTTCTCAACCATTTTTGTTGATTTTTGTGTTTGATTTCATTTTAAAATTTAAGAAACAGTTGAACGGAGTGCAGGAGCAACAAGATCCCTCCCCACCACTTACTCATACAAGCCATTCTTTTCTACAAGACCATACCAGTCCTGGACAACAGCTCCGATTACAGTGCCTGGGCCGGCCAAGTCAGGCTTCACTTCCTTATCAAGCTCGTCCTCTAATACGCCATCAGCTTCTCCGCTAAAATCAATATGGTCTGTTTCGACTCCTTCTCCAATCAAATCCACATTAGGCGCGTCAACTACATCTTCAGTTAAATCCATTAGCGATGTGGCATCTCCAATTAGATCCTTTCGGACAATTTCTTCACCGATCAAAACAGTGGTGTCACAATCTCCATACAATATCCAAGTTTCCTCTGGTACCCTGGCTAGAGCTCCCACCGTCCCAGAGGCCTCGCCTTTGAAAGGGCTGGCATCCAATGCTACGTTTCCCTCCCGCACCTCTCCCGTGACGACAGCAGGGTCTCTTTTGGAGAGGTCGTCCATTACTATGACGCCCCCTGCCTCCCCCAAGTCAAACATTAATATGTATTCCTCAAGTTTGCCATTTAAGTCAATTATTACATCAGCAGCACCGCTAATATCTTCGCCTCTAAAGTCAGTGGTGTCTCCAGCTAAATCAGCAGTTGATGTCATTTCATCGGCTAAAGTCACAATGACCCCTTCCCTCTCATCGCCTGTGAAACAGATGCCCGGACACACAGAGGTTGCATTGGTCAACGGATCTATTTCCCCTCTGAAATATCCATCATCTTCAACGTTAATTAACGGATGCAAAGCCACTGCCACGTTACAGGAAAAAATTTCTACAGCTACAAACTCTGTGAGCTCTGTGGTTAATGCCGCCACTGACACAGTTGAGAAAGTGTTTTCTACCACGACAGCAATGCCATTTTCCCCACTCAGGTCATACGTTTCTTCGACACCATCAGCTTTTCAGTCTCTAAGAACTCCTTCCGCAAGTGCACTCTATACATCCCTTGGGTCGTCAATATCTGCAACTACCTCATCTGTAACTTCATCAATAATAACAGTGCCAGTATACTCTGTAGTCAATGTTTTGCCTGAACCAGCATTAAAGAAACTTCCAGACTCTAGTTCACTTACAAAATCAGCAGCAGCCTTGCTGTCACCCATTAAAACATTGACTACGGAGACACGTCCTCAGCCCCATTTCAATCGAACTTCATCTCCAATTAAGTCGTCTTTGTTCCTTGCACCCTCTGCCCTTAAGCTGTCTACACCATCTTCTTTATCTTCCAGTCAGGAGATATTAAAAGACGTGGCCGAAATGAAAGAGGACCTAATGCGGATGACTGCAATACTACAGACAGACGTGCCTGAGGAGAAACCATTCCCACCCGAGCTCCCAAAAGAAGGGAGGATTGACGATGAAGAGCCTTTCAAAATCGTTGAGAAAGTAAAGGAAGACTTAGTGAAAGTGAGTGAAATCCTTAAGAAAGATGTGTGTGTAGATAACAAAGGACCACCCAAATCACCGAAGAGTGACAAAGGACTCTCTCCCGAAGACGACTGGATAGAGTTTAGTTCGGAAGAAATACGAGAAGCAAGACAACAAGCTGCGGTGAGCCATCCTCCATCCCTGCCGGAGAGAGTGCAAGTGAAAGCAAAAGCCGCCTCCGAGAAGGATTATAACTTGACCAAAGTTATTGATTACTTAACAAACGATATTGGGAGTAGTTCGTTGACAAATTTAAAGTACAAGTTTGAGGATGCAAAGAAGGATGGTGAAGAGAGACAGAAAAGGATTTTAAAGCCAGCGATCGCTTTGCAGGAACACAAACTCAAAATGCCTCCAGCCTCCATGAGGCCTTCCACCTCTGAGAAAGAGTTGTGTAAAATGGCCGATTCCTTTTTCGGAACAGATACTATTTTAGAGTCTCCAGATGACTTTTCTCAACATGACCAGGACAAAAGCCCCTTGTCTGACAGTGGCTTTGAAACAAGAAGTGAAAAAACGCCCTCTGCCCCACAGAGCGCTGAGAGCACGGGCCCTAAGCCACTCTTTCACGAAGTCCCCATCCCTCCTGTCCTCACAGAGACAAGAACTGAAGTGGTGCATGTTATCAGGAGCTACGAGCCCTCAGCTGGAGATGCTCCCCTGGGCCAACCGGAGGAGTCCGTGGCACCCAAACCATCACCTACTTTTACAGAACTGGAACCAAAGCCCACCACCTCTAGTATTAAGGAAAAAGTTAAGGCATTTCAGATGAAAGCCAATGGTGAAGAAGATGACCACAGCCGAGTTTTGAGCAAAGGCATGCGTGTTAAAGAAGAGACCCACATAACCACAACCACCAGAATGGTCTATCATTCCCCACCAGGCAGCGAAGGTACCTCGGAAAGAATCGAGGAAACCATGTCGGTCCATGACATCATGAAGGCCTTTCAGTCCGGGCGGGACCCTTCCAAAGAACTGGCAGGTCTGTTTGAACACAAGTCGGCAGTGCCTCCAGACGTTCACAAGTCTGCTGCTGAAACCACAGCCCAGCATGCAGAGAAGGACAACCAAATGAAACCCAAACTGGAGCGTATAATAGAAGTCCACATCGAAAAAGGTAACCAAGCTGAGCCCACTGAAGTCATTATTAGAGAAACCAAAAAGCATCCAGAGAAGGAAATGTATGTATATCAGAAAGACTTATCCCGGGGAGATATTAACCTAAAAGATTTTCTGCCAGAAAAACACGATGCTTTTCCTTGTCCAGAGGAACAGGGTCAGCAAGAAGAAGAAGAACTTACTGCCGAAGAGTCATTGCCTTCTTATCTGGAGTCTTCCAGAGTAAACACTCCCGTGTCCCAAGAAGAAGAGAGTCGCCCTAGTTCTGCTCAACTCATATCTGATGACTCTTACAAAACACTGAAGCTTTTGAGTCAACACTCAATAGAATACCATGACGATGAGTTGTCAGAACTAAGAGGGGAGTCTTACAGGTTTGCTGAGAAAATGCTTCTGTCAGAAAAGCTAGATGTGTCTCATTCTGATACCGAGGAATCGGTTACAGACCATGCAGGACCCCCTAGCTCAGAGTTACAGGGGTCTGATAAGCGGTCCAGAGAAAAAGTAGTCACTGCCCCCAAAAAAGAAATTCTCTCCAAAATCTATAAGGATGTGTCTGAAAATGGTGTAGGTAAAGTGTCTAAAGATGAGCATTTTGATAAAGTGACAGTGTTGCACTATTCTGGCGATGTTAGTAGTCCAAAACATGCCATGTGGATGCGCTTTACTGAGGACAGATTAGACAGAGGTAGAGAGAAGTTGATATATGAAGATAGGGTGGACAGGACTGTGAAGGAAGCTGAAGAAAAACTGACTGAAGTGTCACAGTTTTTTCGTGACAGAACCGAAAAGCTAAATGATGAACTGCAGTCCCCAGAGAAGAAGCCACGCCCTCGAAATGGCAAAGAATACTCTTCTCAGAGCTCTACCAGTAGCAGCCCTGAGAAGGTACTGCTGACAGAACTGTTGGCATCCAGTGACGAGCGGGTTAGGGCAAAGCAGCATGGCCATGACGGACAAGGCTTCCCCACAGCCGATGAGAAGCAAGCAGCCAGTCTGCCCAGCAGCCCAGAGAAGAAGGGTCTGTCCGCACAGCCCGAGGACAGCAAGCCCACAGAGGAAGTCCGAGAAAGCATTTCGCAGAGCAAGGCACCAGAAGGGCCCCCATCTGGGTTTCAGCTCAAACAATCTAAACTCAGTTCCATTAGATTAAAATTTGAACAAGGCGCACAGGCAAAGAGTAAGGACGTGTCTCAAGACGACAGAAGGCCAGAGGGCCAGTCGAGAATCCCAGTTAAAAAAATGCAGGAGAGCAAGCTGCCCGTCTACCAAGTGTTTGCTAGAGAAAAGCAGCCGCAGGCCATAGACCCCTCAGATGAAAGTGTATCTGTGCAAAACGATCTGATGGCCCTCAAGGCTACGGATGAGCATGCCCAAAGCAACGAGATTGTTGTAAATGGTTCTGGCTCCGAGGATGTGAAAACACAGAGGACTGAAATGTCAAGTAAAGCAATGCCTGACTATTTTTCTGAGCAACAGGCTAAAGACTTGGCATGTCACGTAACCTCAGATTTAGCAACTAAGGGACCATGGGACAAAAAGGTCTTTAGAACATGGGAAAGTTCTGGAGCCACTAACAATAAGTTGCAGAAAGAAAAACTTTCGCATGTACTCGTTCACGATGTAAGAGAGAATCACATTGGTCACCCTGAGAGTAAGATTGTTGATCAAAGGAATGAGTTTATGTCTGTGACTGAGAGAGAACACAAGTTGTTAACGAATGGCTCTCTCTCAGAAATTAAGGAAATGACTGTAAAATCTCCCTCCAAAAAGGTCTTATATAGGGAATATGTTGTGAAAGAAGGGGAACGGCCGGGTGGGCCTCTGGAACCGCCTTCGAGGAGGAGTGAGAGCTCAGCCGTGTCGCACATCCCGGTCAGAGCCATGGAGGGAAGGAGAATGCTGTCTTCTGATATCCCCGACGGCTTTTGCGAGCAGTCAACATTCCCCCAACATGAACTATCACAAAAGTTACCCCAGTCCAGTATGAGTAAAGAGACGGTCGAGACACAGCACTTTAATTCTATAGAAGATGAAAAAGTTACCTATTCAGAAATCAGCAAGGTTTCCAAACGTCAGAGTTACGTAGGCTTATGCCCTGCTCTCGATGAAACCGAAACCTCTCCCACCAAATCTCCTGATTCCTTAGAGTTTAGCCCAGGAAAGGAATCTCCTTCTAGCGATGTGTTCGACCACAGCCCCCTTGATGGATTGGAAAGAGTTGCTCCACTAGCCCAGACAGAGGGAGGGAAAGACATAAAAACTTTACCTGTGTATGTCAGTTTTGTACAGGTGGGGAAGCAATATGAAAAGGAGATACAACAAGGAGGTGTAAAAAAGATCATAAGTCAGGAGTGTAAGACAGTACAAGAGACCAGGGGGACCTTTTATACAACTAGGCAGCAAAAGCAACCTCCTTCTCCCCAAGGTAGTCCAGAAGACGACACTCTAGAGCAAGTTTCCTTTCTAGACAGCTCTGGGAAAAGCCCTTTAACCCCAGAAACGCCCAGTTCAGAGGAAGTGAGTTACGAATTTACGTCTAAGACACCAGACTCGCTCATAGCTTATATACCAGGCAAACCCAGCCCAATTCCCGAGGTTTCCGAGGAGTCTGAGGAGGAAGAGCTGGCCAAGTCAGCCTCCCTAAAGCAGCCTACAGTGGAGGAAGCAACCGTTGAGCGTGAAACGCCTACCGATGTCAGCAAAGACTCGAACCAAAGACCCAAAAGTAATAGAGTTGCCTATATTGAATTTCCCCCTCCTCCACCACTGGATGCAGACCAGATGGAGCCGGATAAGAAGCATCATTATCGCCCCGAAAGAGAGGTTGACATGATTGAAGTCAGTCTGCAAGATGAGCATGACAAGTACCAGCTGGCCGAACCCGTCATCCGAGTGCAACCGCCCTCACCCGTCCCCCCCGGGGCAGACGTCAGTGATTCGAGTGATGATGAATCCATCTATCAGCCGGTCCCCGTTAAAAAATATACCTTCAAATTAAAGGAAGTAGAAGAGGAACAAAAGGAGATGACAAAATCCAAAGCTCCTGTTGACAAGCCTTCCAACCAGAAAGAATTGGAAACTAATGGATCTGGAAAAGATCATGAATTTGGCCTTGGCCTCGATTCGCCTCAGAACGAAACTGCCCAGAATGGGAACAATGACCAGTCCATCACGGAATGTTCCATCGCCACCACGGCTGAGTTTTCTCATGACACTGATGCCACGGAGATCGACTCTCTGGATGGCTACGACCTGCAAGATGAAGACGATGGCTTGACAGAGAGCGATTCTAAACTCCCAGGTCAAACCATGGAAATTAAGAAAGATGTCTGGAACATGGAGGGCATTCTGAAGCCGGCCGATCGCTCCTTTAGCCAAAGTAAACTTGAAGTTATCGAGGAGGAAGGAAGGGTGGGACCAGACGAAGACAAGCCACCTTCTAAAAGTTCCTCATCTGAAAAGACTCCTGATAAGACTGATCAGAAATCGGGGGCCCAGTTCTTCACACTAGAAGGCAGACATCCTGACAGATCAGTGTTTCCTGATACTTACTTCAGTTACAAAGTAGATGAAGAATTTGCCACTCCTTTCAAAACAGTAGCTACCAAAGGTCTAGATTTTGATCCTTGGTCTAACAACCGAGGGGATGATGAAGTTTTTGACAGTAAATCACGGGAAGATGAGACTAAGCCATTCGGTCTGGCTGTGGAAGACCGCTCTCCAGCAACAACCCCTGATACAACGCCAGCCCGAACGCCCACTGATGAAAGTACCCCAACTAGTGAGCCTAACCCCTTCCCATTTCATGAAGGGAAAATGTTTGAGATGACTCGCAGTGGTGCAATTGACATGAGCAAGAGGGATTTTGTTGAAGAGAGGCTCCAATTTTTCCAGATTGGTGAGCATACTTCTGAAGGGAAGTCAGGGGACCAGGGGGAAGGGGATAAAAGTATGGTCACTGCCACACCACAGCCACAGTCAGGGGACACCTCTGTAGAAACCAATCTAGAGAGAAATGTAGAGGCACCTCCAGTCGAAGCTAACCCCAGCAGCCCGACCAGCGGAGAGTGTCAGGAAGGTGCAGCCAGTGGTGGCTCCTTGGAGAAATCGGCAGCAGCCCCTAGCGCCTCTAAAGTTGACCCCAAGTTGCGCACGCCTATAAAAATGGGAATTTCTGCATCCACCATGACCATGAAGAAAGAAGGCTCTGGAGAAGTGACAGATAAGCTAGAAGCTGTGATGACCAGTTGTCAGGGACTAGAGAATGAAACTATAACAATGATTGCAAATACAGCCAATAGCCACATGGGCACTAGGCCCCAAGAGAAACATGATTTCCAGAAAGATAACTTTAATAACAACAACAATTTGGATTCTTCCACTATGCAGACAGATAACATTACAAGTAATGTAGTTCTGACAGAACATTCTGCACCCACTTGTACCACAGAGAAAGTACCAGTGAAAGTCTCATCAGGAAAAAAGACAGGGGTACTGCAAGGACACTGTGTCAGAGATAAGCAGAAAGTTCTTGGAGAGCAGCAAAAGACCAAGGAGTCGATAGGGATTAGGCGAAAATCCAAACTTCCCATAAAGGCCACTTCACCAAAAGATATCTGCCCACCAAGTCATATGCCAAACATGAAAGTGAGTAAAACGAAGCAGGTCAGTCAATCTGAGAAAACCAAAACCCTTATTGGCTCTTCATGTGTAGACGTAAAGTCCAGAATTCCAGTAAAAGACACACACAGGGATAACGCAGTTAGGAAAGCATGCGCCACACCAAAACAAGGGCAGCCAGAGAAAGGCAAGGCCAAACAGCTTCCATCCAAGTTGCCAGTAAAGGTAAGATCCACCTGTGTCACCAGCACCACCAGCACCAGCACCAGCACCACCCCCACCGCCACCACCACCACCCCCACCGCCACCACCGCCACCACCCCCACCGCCACCACCGCCACCACCCCCACCGCCACAGTAAAAGTTAGGAAGAGTCAGCTTAAGGAAGTATGTAAACATTCCATTGAATATTTTAAGGGAATTAGTGGTGAGACCTTAAAGCTTGTGGACCGCCTCTCGGAAGAAGACAAAAAGATGCAGTCCGAGTTGTCCGATGAGGAGGACAGTACCTCAAGAAACACGTCGTTGTCCGAGACTTCCCGGGGTGGCCAGCCTTCAGTTACAACGAAGTCTGCTAGAGATAAGAAAACAGAGGCAGCACCTTTAAAATCAAAGAGTGAAAAGGCCGGCAGTGAGAAAAGGAGCAGTAGGAGGACTGGTGAGGATGAAGGCAGTCAGGTCTCTCGAGCACTCTTTGCTCACATCCTGGAGAACGAGCGTAGTTCGTAAACACTCTCCGATTTGTAGAGCCTAGTGCATGAACTGTCGTGATTGCCTGTGCAGTGACTTAACCGTAGTTTCTCATTCTGTCATTGTCATCTGTGTGTGCTGTCTCTACACTCTTCTCGCTCCCTTTTAACCAACCGACACCGTAGGCAGCTAGGGAAGCATGCTGAAGATCTTGGTGTCATTCAAGATGAGCAGCTTTTTTTTTTTTTCCCCTAATGTACTAATGATTTTGTCAAAGTAAAAGCACAGACGTTGAAATCCCATCATGGTGTTTTCACCGACACAATGATTCTGTAACCGTTGTCCAGTAGCTAGCTCGTCAGCATGTTTGATCCCATCACATTAAGCATCCATGTAGTCTCACATCTGGCCGGGGCAGGTGACAATCAAGTGAGCCATGTGAAAAGACAAGTGTTCATGTAGGTGACTAGGACACATTTAAGTGTACAGTGTTAGCATTAGTCTCTGTAAAATCTGAGTACTGCTAAAAAACAATTTTCCGGTATCGTGTCTTTCTTGATGATTATTTTAATTAAGAAATTGTAAATCGTAGGTCCACAGAGTCCATGTGAACGGACAGATATCAGGATGGCAATAGTAGCTGATCACCTGGGACTTAGTTGGACAGGTAAGTGCGCACACTCCTGAGTGAAACGAATACAGTGTCTTGATTTCTTTGTCTTACTCACAAGGGGTTCGTTACAAAAAACAGAAGCAAGCAACAAGTAGAAAACAAAACAAAACATTTTTACCATCCACAATTCTACCTACCCAGAGATAATTGTCGATAATACCTTACATCCTGTGTTTTTCAAAGTTTTCTTCAATGCACATACACTAAAGAATAGAAATTTAAATCTTACTTTACTTTAAAGGGAGGCACTTTCTTCACACTGCCATTTCTGGTAATAGAAGATAACATTTTACCTAGTAGTAAATTTATTTTCTGGGGTCAAGGAAAGCACAATTAAGGCCTATGACTTTTAAGTAATCCAAAACTTTAAAATGGTGTATTCCCATAGAGCAGCTCTCTCGGGCAACCGTTCAATTAACCCGTGCCTGTGTTTCCCAAATGTTAATCGCTCGTGAGTCATCTTCACGGTTTTTATGATATACACAGATTATCTGTGTGTTTATTTCCCTGAGACTTTTCTTTAAGCGGACTCACTCCCATGCCCAAAGATTTATTTAAAAGGAAATCTTACATCTTTGCTAGAGGAAAACAAGGATCATTTTCAATAACTACATAAACAAGAAAATAAGGGAATGAGGAAGTTGAACATTTCAATTACAATTTTTTAAGTAGGATACACGTACAGAAACTCATTCAGTTTACAAAAGTCATTGAGTTTGGTGAGATGAATGAAACTGTTTATGATCCGTGTGTAGAAAAGGAATATTTAGCTTGATTTCACTTCATTACAGATGAAGATAAGATTCTGTGTCATTTGGACAATTCTGCTTTGTAGATTTGATGTTAACTGGGCCTCCAAAATCCTACCTCTCATGAATCAGAGAAATTTTAAGTTCTAGACGTTGAGTGTATGTTTTTAATACTCAGCCAAAAAAACACAGTAGCTTAAAATATAAATGTCAACCATTGTCATATCTAAGTCATCTTGTATACCCTCCGTGATAGTCTATGCTCAGGGAAAGAATTATCTCTGCTATTAAAAGGGAGAATATGAAACCAGATAATGGCAAACAAGGTCAGCTACATTTTCTTCCTTTAAATGGCCTAAGTCCTGCCCTCACCCCCAACTTATTAAACCTTCCTGTCTCCTTCCACCCAGCCTCTGCTCTCAGGCATGCTGCTAACAACCAGGAGCCTAGTGGTACTCTGAGGAGACAGGTGGTCTGAGTAATCCTAAGCAGCTTGTTGAGAGTTAATAGCAATTCGTTATATATAAATATTTGCTAACATAAAATTAATAATAATTATATTTTAACATCAGACATTGTGATCTGAAAATACAGTGGAGCAAATGTTGGGTTTGCAGTATTATACGCCCATACTATTAGATTATTTACCTTAGACAAATCCAGTCCTTAAGTCTGTCAGAGTAAATTTTGGGGGAAGATGTGACATAAAGCTATTAAACTGTAAAATTCTTAGCGACAGCGTGTCTTTGCTCTTCACTGGATCACTAGACAGAGGATACAGTTGGGTCATAAGGGCGTGTTGGATGGTAAGGAGTATTGTCTCTTAAAGCACAAAGGGATGAAGATCTTAAAAGAAATTTAACTTTGTCATTTGAATTACTATCTGCTCAGTGAAGATTGTCATTAAAATTATCAATTAGAAGAGCAAAATTTAATCCTGTCCCTCAGAACCACTGTTAACATCTTAATGTACTTTGATTTTTGTATAAAAAGCTTTAAAATGTTATATACACCATGTAATTTTTTGCTTTTTTATTTGTTATTACCTAGTTTCCACAAAATTGCATATTCTATGATCTTGGTTTTCATGGATAAATAACATCTAGCATACATACTTTATAATGGTGTTTCTCTAACTTTGGGTCACAGTGCACTCCTGAGTCATGAAATCAATACATACTTTGGTTTTGTTTTTAATAGAATAGAATGGGGGGAAATGTCTGTGTATTACATGTATTAAGGCTAAGTTTTGCTTCTTGAAGATCTGGTTTCATTTATATAAACATTGCGCTATACAATGTATATCTAATTGTAAGCCATGATCAAAACAGTTCACAAGTCTGCATTAACTCAATTAACTCTTCTTTTGTTCAACATTTGGATTGTTTTCCGTTTTTTAATAGTACAAGCCTGAGATAAATATTCATGTGTGTAAATCATTGTGCCCAACCCAATGTATCATCACGAGAGTTCCTAGAAGTGAAATCGCTTGATCAAAGGATCTGGAGTTTTTTGAGCCTCTGCATGCATTTCGTCAAATGCTAGAAATATTTAAGCAGGGTAGAATCTTGACCAATTTCTTTTCCATAGGAGGATTTTTTTTTTTCCCATTTATTTCTAGAATCACTTAAAGTAATACATACCTGAGGATTTTTTTTTAACTGTACAGGAAATATACAGTGAAAAGTCAGGCTCCTTCTCATCTTCGACTCCTGTTTCCAGAGGGAGCTGCTAATGCTCACACGTATCTTCCCAAAAACACTCTCTGATTGACAAGGACGAGCATACGTGTATACACATTTAGGTGGACGCAAAGCTATTTCCCTTTTATTTGTTAGACAAGTGGTAGCATAGCGCAGACAGCAATCTGGACTGTAGTCATCATTTAACCTCCCAAGTGAATTGCTGAAGGCACATTACCAGCATCTCTTGTGCCCTATTTATGGGTGTGTATCCCTGCCCATCTTATATGAGGCTTGAGCAAAGTGCAAAGAATAATTTGGCTGAATTCAATTCAATTTAATTTAATAAATTAAAAGAATCCAGCAACATCCTCTTCGTACAGATCAAGAATCTTTATAAAAGAATCTCTCAAGAGGGAATCTAATTGTAACTAAGCAGTTATCTCAGGAGAGTTAAGTCCAGTCTGTGTGTGATCACGACTTCCCTGTAAAAGCAAGCGTGTAAAGATTAATGCGCAAGGCTGGACTGGGTTTTACTATACAATTCCTTTGTGTGTGCGTGTGTGTGTGGCAGTTGAGCATTACGTTTATGAAACATATGTGATAAAAGTAGAATGTGAAATCTTAGTAACTCTTTTTCTTTTCTACAGAACTGGCAAGGGAACTGAATTTTTCAGTGGATGAAATCAATCAAATACGTGTGGAAAATCCAAATTCTTTAATTTCTCAAAGCTTCATGTTATTAAAAAAATGGGTTACCAGAGACGGAAAAAATGCTACAAGTATGCTGACATTATATTACTTTAACTTTCAAAACTGCATATATTCAGTATTTTAGATAAGCCTACTGTTAATAGACCAGAGTAATCATAAAGTAATAGCAAGTCTTTTGCAGTTATACTTGTTTAATTTAGCGCTAATATTCTAAACACCTGTCTTTAGGAAGCTTCTTAAGAAAGCAGGTAGTGGTGAATTTGTTGCATTTTGTCTTTCGTTCTCTCCGTGACCATCAAAAATGAAAATCGAATTCTAGCTGTTAAATCATGGGGTAGTAGTCAGAAACACTCTGAGGCTACTGCTGTGGCCAGAGCTAGAAGCACAGGGAGAAAAAGAAAGAAGGATAGGATCAAATCATTTTATTCAGCTTCAACTGTGCTGCAGAGAATTCTCCAGTATTTTTAGGTTCGGCTTGGTTTGGGGGGGCGGGGAGCGGTGCTATACTACAGCAATGTGAAATAAGTTATTGTGGGTTTGCCTGTGTCAGCCTGACCTTAGTAAGTCATTAAAATGCTAAGCATCAGATATGAGGGTGATCTATTTTGACAGTCTAAAAGGAGAGGAACATGTTTAAAATTTTAATAGATCCCCTCGTAACTAAAAGGAGTCTAGCTATTTTGAGGCCCATCTGCTCAGCATCGTACCGTGGAATGAATGTTGCTGTCACCACACATAGCTTCACAAAGTGATTCTTAAGACCCTGACATGACGTCCCTGTAACACCGAGCTTTCTGAGCCCTCTGCATGGTAATATGGCAGAGCCTCAGTGAGAAGGAGCTAAACCACTAGGAGGGTCGAGAACGCCATGCTTTTGTGTGGATATTGGGATGACTGGAAGAAAATAATTTAATCGGGTTTTCAACCCTTTTTTCTCCTTTTTCAGCTGATGCCTTAACTTCGGTCTTGACAAAAATTAATCGAATAGATATAGTGACTCTCCTAGAAGGACCAATATTTGATTATGGAAATATTTCAGGCACCAGAAGTTTTGCAGATGAGAACAATGTTTTCCATGACCCTGTTGATGGTAATTGAATTTAGTGTTCATATTTATTTAATCATTTGATAAAATTTGAAAGTGTGTAGGACAAGGCAGTCACTTAAAACCAACTAAATTGTGATTTGCTTGACTTAATTTCTCATTTTCACAGCATTTTCTCTACTAGAGTCTGCAGATAAACACTCTGATAGAACAAACTTGATAAATTTCTGTTATAGTAAATACAAATAATGAGGTATAAAAGCATAGGTTAACTGAATTGGCATTTCAAATATTTTACATGACCAAGTGGAAGGAAATTTAATACCTGGAGAATGCATTGTTTTTGTCATTTTCACATTAACCTAAAAAACGAGTGAACTCTTTTCTTTACATGTTGATAAGACCAAACAACCGAGGTACTGGGTCAGGTTTAGGCATATTCCTGTTTGAATTCCTGTTTGGGGGGGCCAAGTATTTAAGCATGTACTGAAAAAATCTAATGCATCACTCAAAAACATGTTTTACTTATGTGGCATATTTTAACTTTATATGCTTCCATTTATTGTTTGGAAAAACCCTGCCTGATCTATCATATATAAAAGTCAGTGTCATTTCTAATTCAGTGAGCACAGATGTCACTAATAACATAGTAATTCCTTTTTTACATTAGCTTAATTTATATAAGAATATCATCATCTTTCCTTCAGTATGTAAATTGGGGCATTTTTTTAATCAAAGTATCAAAAAGTATAACAAATACTTTACTATGTTTTTCAAGGTGCTTGTCTTGCTTTACAAATGGAAATTTATTCCTATAATGAATTTTGAGTAAAACATGATGATGGTGTGGAAGTAGAAAGAAGAGCTTAGGGATATTTTTCTACTATCCCCAGTTTTGAAAAATATGGTGTTTTTCCCCCATTTTTTAAACTGGCAAAGTTAGACTAACAAAAATTAACAACTTCTAGTTCTAGATATATTATGTAGCAAAGTTGTTAAATTCTTAAAAAGTTTCTGCTTGCTAAAGTTAAAGTCAACAGAAAATTTATAGCATACTTTATTATCCACATAACACAATGGGCAATAATGTCAAAAGTGGTTTCTTTTTAAGCTTATAAATGCCACAGAACCTTGGAAAAAAGCTCTCTTCAAGGCCTCATCTTATATGTAAGACCATGTAATGGTAGACAGTCTCTTTTTGCACTAAAGGTAGACCATTGTTATATCAAATTCTGAATTATTGCCAAGTTATAGTTTATGGAATCTTTTAATATTCTTTTTGGGGAAAAATTTTTTAAGAAAATACCTAACAAACAAAAAAAAAAAAAAAGGAAAAAGAAAAGAAAGAACTAACAAGCAAGATAACCAGAAAATAATGGAAATAGTCAATAGAATTGAAAGCTTTATTTATTTTTAACATTTTAAAATCATTAAATAAATTCACAAGAATTTTTCGTGGCTACATCTTAATATTTTATGTTTCTTATTTTAAAAAATCATAGGGAAATTTAGGAATGTGTGTATGAAGTAAATTTCACTTATGCAGATTATAAACCTCAGCTAATCTCAGCCAGCTTTTCAACAAGATTCTGGTTTATAGGTGACTATACTTACCTATAGCAGTTTGAATTTACAACAAAAGCTAAGTTGGTATTTGTCAGGGACTGATGGGAAAATTAGGCTCTCATTTTGTAAACCATTGATTCAGAAAATGTGCTTGGCTGCCTTTTTTTCCTGTCTCTCCTCTTTGTTGAACTTTTATGAAACCTCCTTTCCTCACCATGACCAGACCATTGTTGACTTCTCTCTCTGCTGAAGGAGAAAAATATTCCCTTTGTCCACACAGTGAAGGTTAAAACAAGGGAATTGTTTCCTACTTCCCCTCTCAGTAGGCTGGGGAATAAATAAACCTCCGTGTTTCACAGTATTGTCGTGAATATTCAGAGAGCTCTTTGCAAATGGCTTTCTTCCTGTCTCTGTTGTGTATCATTTCTTTTTTCTCTTTATTTGATTTGTGGTTCTGAGTGGACCTCTCTCACCAAGTTCACTAAGACCTCCATATACACCACACCCTTTCATCTCTGTCACATTATGACACCTGAAGATTTTCCTTGGAGTCTTTTCTACTTTATCTGCTTTTTAAATCCTTTTCCTAACATCTTTTTAGATTTTTTTTCCCAGTGCTACTGCTCTAAAATCTAATAATAATTTCCTTCCAAAGATTAAATGTATTTTCCTTCACGGTAAATTTCAAGTGAATAAAAGTGAGAATTAGAGTTGGATAGCATTGCTCATATGTAAAGCTCTTAAAATAAGTTATAAGTGACTTATGAAATTTGGTTTCTTGTGGCTTGCTGTATGCAGTCCACCACAATATGGAATTTTGCATGCTAAAAGTAGAAAGATAATAAATTTGGCCATGGAATAAGTGTATCTTATATAACGATAGCTAATTTTGTATTGGATTGAATTAGTCTGTATATTTAAGTTATTGTATTGAAATTATCAAAATTGATAGAAATCATTTATATCTTAATTAGTATTCTGTTTTATTATAGTGCGCACTAGTCTTTTATTTCATTGTATTACATTTAATTGAACTAAACCAATAAATTTATGAACATTATTCTGTAACTCATCATACATTTTCATACCTGATATAATTTAATTCATTCCATGTGTTTTGTTTGCTGTACTCTAATTCATTCCAGTCAGTCCGAATGTACTGTCTTCCATAGGTTATCCTTCCCTTCAAGTGGAACTGGAAACTCCCACAGGGTTGCACTACACACCACCCACCCCTTTCCAGCAAGATGATTATTTTAGCGATATCTCTAGCATAGAGTCTCCCCTTAGAACCCCCAGTAGACTGAGTGATGGGCTAGTGCCTTCCCAGGGGAACATAGAGAATTCAGCAGATGGACCTCCAGTTGTAACTGCAGAAGACACTTCCTTAGAAGACAGCAAACTTGAAGACTCAATGCCTTTAACAGAAATGCCTGATGCAGTGGATATAGATGAGAGCCAGTTGGAGAATGTATGTCTAAGTGAGTATCCTCAATACCTCGGAAGTATGGCTGGGGTCCCAAAAGATGTTAAACCAGCAGAGCCATTCAAACAGCCTAGTAAAATAGGAGTAAGCTCTGAGCAGCAAGAGAAAGGAAAATCTGGTCCTGATGAGGAGATGACGGAAGAAAAACTCAAATCTCTATTTGAGGACATTCAACTTGAAGAAGGAGTAGAGTCTGAGGAGATGACAGAAGAAAAAGTACAGGCTATTCTTAAACGTGTTCAGCAAGCAGAACTGGAAATGTCTTCAATTTCAGGTTGGCAGAACGAGACATCAAGTGGAATCCTAGAGTCCTCTGCTCAAGCTCGAAGAATAACTGGTGGGTTACTAGAACGGCTGGATGACAGGTATGGCTCCGTTTCAGAAAATAGAAAAGCGAATCACAGGTTACATGTTAGTTAACTGTTTGTTTTAAATACCTGCTTTTTAGCAATTACTCTTTTTCTAAATCACCATTCCAGTTTGGGGATAATACCTGCCTTAAAGGTTGGTTCATTCTGCTAATCCGGAGAGGGAAAGTTACATGACATCCGACTCTTGATCGCAGCTCAGTTCTTGAAATCATGGTTGTGAGTTCAAGAAATCACAGCCAGCCCCCTGCTGGGCTCCATGCTGGGTGTGGAGCCTACTAAAATAAATAAATAAATAAAACAAAACAAAAAAACAACTCCTGATAGCCTGAAGTAAAATGCAAACAGTTTTACATGCATGCCAAAGATGTATATGTTTACTTTAGAAGACTGCTCTTTTCTAGTTTATTACTTGCATTATTCTTTTCACAAAGCCAATAAGTAATGCACTTTCAAAATAATGTAATAAAAAAAACCCCATGTCTTTTACAAATATGAACATTTCTATTGTTTCCTGACTTCAAACATAATATGCTTATTATGCAAACTTTAAAACACAGATGTAAAAGGTCAAAACCCCATCATCTAGCAATAACTGCCACTAAAATTTGAGATTTTTAAGATTTCTTTTACATACATTTTTCTAAATGTCTTAATGTAGAAAATGCAGAGAAGCAAAAAGAAAAGTTATCGGTCCTCCTACCGTACTAAGAAAACACTTAACATTGTATATCCTTCTTTTTTCCTACATGAACATTTTATGTAATTTGCAACATTGCATATGTAATTCTTCACTCCAAATAATATTGCCATGGTGGACACTTGATTACGACCAAAATAATTCCCTAATCATGAATCTAGTTCTTTTTTATAGTGAACTTACTCTAGGAAGGTGAGAATCTAGTGTCCTTCAGATATTGGTTCAAATCCCACCAGCATTAGGTTTGCACTTTGTGACTCTGGATGAATTTCTAAGCTCTAAGAATGTCAGTCTAATCAGCTTTAAAAACTGGAATACTGCTGCTTTCCTCAAGCAGGTTTACAGATTGGAAAAGAAAGCCTATAGAAGGGCTACCGGATGACTGGTACAAATAGTCTCTCAGTACTAGTTGGCATTATTTTTATTTATGCATACATCAGACTAAAATATATTTTACTTCAGTGGCAACTAGTGATAACCTCAGGGTTTTTTGCATCCAACTTAAATTTCTTTCATAACCATATTTAATATTTTCACATTGCTGATAAGCTTCTTGCTCGATAAAAATTCCCAAAGAGGGAGTTTATAACATTTTGCAAAAAGGAGTCTAGAAGATTCCTGTAGAAGAATGGTAAGTCCAAAGAATTCTGTATTCAGCCTACCAGACTGTTGCAAAGACAACAAATAGTACTAATTTTGATGTCTGTGTTCTAATATAGTCACGTAATCTATAGTTGCACAGCAGGAAATAGATACATTTAGATTATAGCAAAGTCAGGATGGCAGGATTCACAACTGGAAACCCATCCAAAGACTGAAATGTGGGATGCTTGGGGTTGCCAGAGCTCTCCAAACAGGAATGCATTTGATTCTCAGCCAGCAGTTTTTTCCCTGGGCAATGCGAAAGCCTTTTGCAGTATCCTCCTCCTCTTTTAGATCGGTGGGTCTGGAACTCTGGGTATGTCCATGAACCTCTCAAGATGACTTTTAAAAATCTCAAATCCAAGTAGCTGTAGCAGTGCAATTAAACAAAACAAAACAGAAACTAGGCAGGTTGGGAATTGGGGTGTGGGGGAAGCCTGGTCCTCACCCCCAAACCCATGATCGCCCCTCACACAGCAGGTTTTTCATGCCTTTCTATTTTATGCCTATAAAAGTGATTTAAAACATGGTTGTTAAAATTTAGAGCTTCTAAAGCTCATTTTCAGCCATGTATTACCATTGTAAATTTCCACATTTTCTCTTTTGCAGCCCTGATCAGTGTCGAGATTCTATTACCTCATATCTCAAAGGAGAACCTGGGAAATTTGAAGCAAATGGGAGCCATGCAGAAATCACTCCAGAGGCAAAGACAAAACCCTACTTTCCAGAATCCCAAAATGATGTAGGGAAACAGAGTGCTAAGGAAACTCTGAAACCAAAAATACATGGATCTGGTCGTGTGGAGGAACCAGCATCATCACTAGCAGCCTATCAGAAAGCTCTAGAAGAAACCAACAAGTTTGTAATTGAAGAGCCTAAACCCTGTGTGCCTGTCAGTATGAAAAAGATGAGTAGGACTCCTGCAGATGGCAAGCCAAGGCTTAACCTGCACGAAGAAGAGGGGTCCAGTGGGTCTGAGCAAAAGGTATGCAGTCCAATTATCTGATACACTGTTAAGCCAAGAGTACTGATGCTTCACGTCCTTTGATTAATCTTGTAACACTGGGCCCAAGGTTCTTTACTATTTCCAAATTATCAGAGCTAACACTAATGGCGGGGCTGAAGAAAGCACTAGGTAAAACACATACTCTTTGATTATATTTTTCATTCACTGAGTAGGAAAAAGGGAGAAGCATCTCTTCAGCCATTTTTCAGGAGAAAAAAGAACTACAGAGATGTTATGTTTAAGGTCCAGTGGTAATTTTGTCTAGGATTTGGATTTGGGTTTCCTAACTCCCAGCCCAGTCTTCTTTCTTATGGAAGGAGGATAATTATTCTGACTTTTCCTGGTTCTTCTGCATAATTTAGAGTTTATAGCGTGTGACCCATCTAAGAGTTCTACCCTATAAGGTCTGTTGTCTGAAAGCATGTTTTAAAAATTAAACCCAGTGTCCAAGCCTGATATGAGGTGGGTATATACGACTGTTGGTTGACATTTAGAAATTTGAAGTTAGAGGTTTGTTCATCTAAGTCGATAATTATCTTAATATTTGTTTTCAATAATTTTAAAGGCTTACTGTCATAGAATTATTTGCTTGCACTTTGTACTTAAAACATGTTTACCATCTAATAGATTTTTTTTTCATTCTTTGAGGTTTACCACTTTTAGATATTAAAAAATTTTGAACTAAAATTTATAATTCATAGATGGATATAAGAAAATAAAAATTAGTTCCATTTCCTACACGTTTTTTTTACTGCTTTTTGCTCTCTCAGTCGTATCTTTTCCTGAACCATGCAGTAGGTATAGGCTGAGACATGGACATCTTGGAATCGTAGCACTTGCAGTTTTCCCTAAAACATCCAGTGGTGCTTAAGACCTACTGCAGTGTTTGGGATTAAAAAAAAAACAAAACAAAAAAAACCCCAAGTCTTTTATAAAATAGCAAGTCCATGATTAAGTCATGGTTTACAAAAACTTTATTAATAAACTCCCAGTCACTGAGGAGCTAATGATCAGCTGATCAATTAATCATATCCTTTCCTTTTCCCTTCTGCAGGCTATCTTTTGACCATTTTCCTGTGTGTTAGGAGGGAAAGTGAGAGGGAGTAAAATTCTCAGGCCTTCCTTTCACTTCCTGACAAATGGGGTGTGAATATTGATTTCTTTCAGTTAATTCTTAGCATATTTAAGCAGTATGACCTTGGATGTTCCCTTTTAAAATGAGTCCACAAAATACAGAAGGAAGCAGTAACATTGTGATGTCTTAACTATGGAAGTTTACTATTAAAAATCCGTAGAGAAGCTCTGAAATCAAATGATTATCTAAATATAAATAAGCACTTGGTGTGTACACATTGGCTACTGGGGAACCGGGGAGAAGGCAAAAGAGGGTCTGAAATGAAAGTCTTAACCCTGAATGGAAGCTCAGCTGAGTTCATCAGTACTGGAACATAATTACTCTTAGTGTTTTCAAATTGCTATGAGATCGTGCTTTTGGTATTGGTTACAGGTCCTACTCTAATGCCTAAAAAGTTTTCATGAGCATAAAAGTTCTTAATGGAGTTAAAGTTTCTGGGACTTTCTGATCTCACTAGAAATCCCAAGATGTTCAGGATGTGTCTTTTTTGGCTAGACTGTAATAGAGTAGTCATCTGATGTATGGTCTCAGAAAACAGTCCCCTTTTTGTCCCCTAAAAAATCAGGTCAAAAGTCCGGGTGCGGCTCTTACACGGATGACTGCTTGCTGTTACAAGGTAAACTTCTGCTCTTTTCCACCTCTTTCCATGCAGTGACCCATGGCAAGCCATACTGAAACAATCCCGTTTGTCTGTCTACTAGTTACTCTCTTCGCCAATTCTAGAGAATTCTCTAAAACGAATCCTGATCAAGATTCTACTACCATCTTCTACCTTTCACCTTCAAATTAGCAGAGACTTGAGGCAGAAAGTAGAAACTAAACATTGGCCAAATGGACATTTTTCTTTCTGAAAGGGACTAGTCTCAGATGATTCTTGATAGGATTATAACGCAATTGATGTCTAGGTTTGGTAGTGTTTGCATTAACATATGTTCTGCTTTTCAATTTACCCAAGTGAAAACCTTTCCCCAGTTTACAATTCTGTGTATGAATAATTCAGATTGAATTTTCGTTTTTGCCTCATCTAATCTGTTGATCCCTGAATGCTGATTGGGAATTCTTTTCTTTCACAATATGAATTCCTCTTTCTGCCTTTTTGAGCTGTTTCAGTGACTCCTTTCACAATACTGGGATCATTGTAAGTTTTCTGAATTTACAATCTTTTCTAAAACATTTTAAAAGAGGGAATTTAGCAGCTAATATCTTTGCAAGGAATAAACTTGAAAACTTTCCTTTTGACACCATACTCTTCAGTAGGGTATTTTGTTCAGGTGAAGTTTCTTAAAATGTTAGGGTTGATATTATATTTTAAAGTATTTGTTAAATGTAACTTGGGTGAAAAATAGTCTATTATCTGACAACATTTTTTAAAGAAACCTTTCTGCCACATTTTTAAAAAATATTTTATTTATTTGATTGATAGAGATAGCGAGAGCAAGAACACAAGCAGGGGGAGTGGGGGAGGGAGAAGCAGGCTTCCCACTGAGCAGGGAGCCCTATGCGGGGCTTGATCCCAGATGAAGGCAGATGCTTAATGACTGAGCCACCCAGGCACCCCATTGATAACATTTGACAATCACTTTAGCTAACACTTGTACCTCCTGTAACAATTTTACTTTTTTCCCCCTATTTTTACCAACACTGCCACTGATTTTTCCAATGGATATTAACTGCAGTTTCTATCTCCGGGACTCTCAGATTTGGGGCAACTAGCAAACTTAGAAAATAAAATGCCAGAACTATTTTCAGAATTCCACCATTAAAATTTAGAGATAAAATCATTCAGTAAATAGTCTTCACCATGACACATTTTTCCCTTTTTCTCATCTTTATTGCCGAAAAATTAATATTTTGTGTACTGCTTGTATTCTTGTCTATACTGTCTTCTTGTCTGTCAGATGTTTTTTCTGTCCTCGTTTCATATCAGATCTTTAAAATAAGACTCCAAGTTTTTACATGTTTTACATTATGTCTTCATTCATTTGCATAAACTCTTACTGAGCACCGATTGTGTGTTAGGAGCCAATTATGCTGCTAAAAATCTCCCAATATAAATACATGTGGCAAACTCTACTGATGTCAATTCTTTACTTTTTTATAAAGTTCAAAATAGGTTTTGATAAAGTTGTCAAATCTGACCAAAATTTCATAAAAATCAGATGCTACGCCTCTTTCTGTAGATCAAATGAAGCATAGCCATTCAGATCAAATGTATAGAGATTTAAAACGAGTTTTAAATAATGAAAGTTTATCTTCAAACTAATAATGAGTAGCATGTAGTTTCTGATACCAAAATGTCTCTTATAATTATTTTTATTTAATTACATTGATCTTTACCATATATATGCACACAAAGATCAATGTAATTAAATATATGTATTAATACACATACACACGTAATACATACATATACAGAGTCATTTCATTTTTTTCTTCCACTTAAATTTTTTTTTAAGATTCTCACAAATACATATCGTGATGTTCCTTAGCAGGGAAAACCAGCAAGTGAAAGTAATTCTTTTTTGATTTCCTTTCTCAGAATGTCTTTTATTTTAAATGTGATGGTAAAATTATCCTAAAAAATGCATTTATCAGGACTTGAAAGACAGTGAGAGTGATTCGAGCTCAGAGGAAGAACGGAGAGTCACTACCCGCGTTATTCGCCGGCGTTTGATTATAAAGGTATCCTGTAGCCGGATTGTGATGGGGCATTGCTATGGGATTAGAAAGTCCTTCCTTGTGGCCTTGAGAATTCAGCATGCTTGATAAGTAAGCGGCTCTGTATATGCTTCTTCGCACATCTGAAAGCTTGTAAGAACCACCACGAAGAGGAAAGGGTCGTGTTGTATGGTAGTGAGTATTCAGTCTAGGCCTGTGTCTGACTCGTCGCAGCTGTAATTTTGTCTGAGAATTCTTGGCATTCGTTTCCTGCCTTCCCTGAAAAAGTCTTGTATGTGAACAAAGATGTTATCTTGGTGAGAGAATAGTTCGTATCAAATGAAACGGTCAGTGGAGACGTCAGAGGCCACATGAGGTGTGAGGTCAGATGGAGAAGGACAATGAAATAATGAAAAGGCTCTCTCCTCGGTCTCAAATTCCTACTGCCTGAACTGCTCTTGAGTAAAAACCAGTTCTTTGTTGCCGATCAGTAGCTGAGAATTTGGTTTTAGCCTGGCATGGATGTATGTGGCAAAAACAAAATCAGGCAAAACCTTCTGAAAAAGGCTTTTAACTTGACTAACATACAGAAAATCTGGCTGTATTTGTAAGCATAGGAGGCATTGTTTTGCTGGATGTAAAAGTATCATCCTCCCCCTGTTGCAGCACAGCAATGAATAAACCTTCATTTCCCCCCCAAAGGCCTATGGAAGCACTGACTTTATATGCCTGGTCAGGTCGGGCAGAACGCTTCCCACAGTCTGCTGCTTGTCTTCATTACTCGACTCTGCCTTTAGAGAGAAATTTCCTGATGTTAGAATAACTGACTGCAGAAACCAGGAAGCCATTTTCAACACACAGGCCTTTGCATGTGGTCCAAATAACTTGAGGCTCCTCGGTTGACAGCTCTGGAAGGAAAGAAGGAAAGGAAGGGAAATATCTATTGAAAACCATTTATCAGATTTATCATCCCTTTCCAAAGTGTCAGGAAACCCATGAGAGAGTAGAGAAGTTGGCTTAGGTATCTAAAACTCCTGCTGCTTGTACTTTTCACGTAGATCAGATGAAAGAAGAGAAGAAAATCTGCCAAATCTGCTCTAGTGTAGGTTTTCTCAGGCTCTGGAAGCATTAGAGAAGAAAGTAAGTCCTTGTCTAAATCTTAAACTATCCCCAAATCAATCAATAGATAGCTATATATATTAAAAACAAAACAAAACAAAAGCATGAATCACTTCTTTGACAATTCCATCTAGGCAAGCCAAATTACTAATTGGTATCCAGCATATTTGCAAGTATTCACCCCGCTTATAAAATCTTCATAATCACTCACCTCCCACACATTCCCTGGGATTAGGGGAAAGAAATACTTAATACAGGTTTTCTGAAGGAGTTAAAACTATACTCTTTGCTCAGTCAGGCTTTGCCCTTCCCAGAATCAACGTCTTCAAAAAATGATATTTTAAAGTGAAACGACCAGAAAAAGCGCACCAAATCATCTTGTAACTTGCTTTTTATGCTTAACATACGACATACTCATGTTGCATCCAAATCCACCTCATTCCTTATAAAAGCTGCTCATTATAGAAGTTGAATCTCCTCTGTATAGGGCAGAAGAAAATAAACAGAATCCTGCAAAAAAAAAGTGAGAGGGAGAGGATAAAGACGTTTTACTCTGAAGAGCACAAAAACAAAACAATAAAAACACAAAACCCACCAAATCAATGAGGGTTACTTCTCTTGGTCTTCTAGAATTCTAGACATGCATTGGCAAGTTAGCTTTTAAGCAGTTTTGTCAGAATGTGTTATCTATATATTTGAACTTAATATATAATTATGTGTAATATATAAACATTTTTATTAAGAGCTTAAGTGTAAGAGAGAAAATTACACTACGATGGCTTCATAAAACAGAGGGGTCTATTCTCCCCAATTCCCCACTGCTTAAAGTTAGTGTAATTTTAGGGAGGTTGAGTGAAATGACCAGAGCATGGGTTTTATAAGTGGAGAGAGCATTGTATAAACAATAGAATCAAACAAACTTGGAGAAACCGAAAGCTAGCAAAAACAGCTATAATTAGGTATAACAAAAATCATTATAAATTACACATATAAGGATCCGGTTACTCGTTTTCTGTTCAGATTTTGGGGGCTGTTGGAAAGTGTCACACTTCTGTTGCTTTTCTTTTCACTCTATATGTTGCTATCTTTCTAATGTTAAAAGAGCTTGAAATTGCCATAATATACAGTACTTATGACACGGAAAACACCTCTGCCAAAAACATAATAGGAGAGTGTTAGGATGGAAAGGGATCATTGATACTAAAATCACTTATTTTCTGAGATGACAAAACCTAGGGACTAGACGGTTGGCTTTACCCAAAACCACGCAGCAGGGCAGCAAGCAGTCTGGGACCCCCCCCCCCCCCAGCCTGCTCTCCAGCCCTCCAGTGCAGTGCCTTCTACCTGCTTTTCCCTCCTTGCTAAGTTCTTTCTCTTCTAGAACAAATTATTAAGGAATAACTTTTCCTAGACCAAATTAGGCACTTGGCCACTTAAAACATTTCCAGTGGCATGGAACAGGGCTGCCGTGGGCTGTCTCTCCTGGAAATTATCTGATGAGACTGGAATGCTGAGAATTTGGCCTTCTTCACGGAGGTTGTCCAGCCTTGGGCCAGACGAGCATATTTAGACTGTTTGCCATAGTAATCCCTCTAGCACTCAGGCTCTCAGAGTTGAAAACCACTTTGGGGTTGTTCCGTCCCTCCCCGAGCTAGGTTGGGCTGCAGTGTCCACACCTGCAGGAGATGGGCTCAGGGCTTCATGACTGCAAGTCGAGGCCAATCCGTCCTCTTAGCCATTCAGTTTGTACAACTGATGGAGTGAAAGTATAATTTTATGGTTTTTCTCTTCAATTTCATATGCAGGTTCACCCATTTCTTCTGAAGTTTGTTTTTATATTTTTGTTTTTCATTTACTATTTTCAAGTCCCTAAGGAATGAGTCAAGTGAACAAACTCTTCTAATTGTGGGGGGATTTTTAGATTTTATAAGCACATCCATTTATTTTTATATAATTTGATAATATCATGGTGTTTTCAAATGCTTAGAAGCAGCTTGAGTAAATTAACTCGTCCTATGAGCTTGTTTATAGTATGTGCTAAGTTAGTGATTACAAAGACAAAAACATTAACTCACAGCCAAACTATTAGGAAGTTTGGTAAGATTCAAATAACTGAATTTTTATTATATAATTCAGCTGTATTTTTATTTCTACTTCTGAACTTTACTAACCATATAAGTTTTCCCCAAATCATCAATCAAAAGTATATAAAGTTTGATCTACTCATTCCATTTCCCAGAGGTAACCACTGTTCCTGAGCTTCAGATTATTTTTATGTACATGTATTGGTATGTATATAAAATGTACACACATTCCCAGCAAGTGGGTTTCTCAGAATATAATAATGAGTTATACCATCACATAGTGCTTAGGAACTTGCTAAGTTATATATGTCACAAATGTGATATCCATCCCATTTGGGGGGAAAGTTTAAGTTCTAATGTTACAGACATCAGAGCCAATTGGTACATCTCATACTGTTATTCCTTCCTTTTATTCAAGGACAGAGGAATAAAAATTATGAAATGCAATGCTTCCAGCAGAGGTCCAAAGGGAAGAACAGCTAGTCTTCATTAAGGTGGCCACCAGGGATGATACTGTGACACCAAATGTGCTGTAATTTTCCTTTGAAATAGGAAAGAAAAAAGTGGGGGGGAGGTGTTGCCAAAAATAATGCCATCAACAAGACCTGGGGGGAACTTTTGCTTAGTTCAAAGTACAAACTGTTTTCTAGAACTTTAGGAACTAATTAGAGATTATTTTCTGTCATAAAGAAAGGCCCAAAAAAGACCTCTCCTGGGTACTACTTGGTCTCTAATATATTTGACAGAATTAAAGATGGATGATTTTTTTTTAAAACCATGTTTCCTGACTCCTTCCTGTCTTCCCTCTTTATCTAATCAACCCCTCACTTATCCACTCCCCCAGTTTAGTGAGTTTCCACATCACCACGCAACTTACTTTGGCCTTAGTAAAGCACTAATTGACTGTATTTAATGGCCACTTAAGATTAAGAGAGGCATCTTTATCTTTAGCTGTACATAAGCAGTATGAATTTTCAGTAGGAAACATGAAAATGCCCACATGCCAGAGTAAATCTCAACAACTTATAGGGCTTGTTATTTATAAATAGGACTTTGCTTTTTTCTAAGGCTATTAATATAAATCAAAATTCTTCTACGTATTCGCTATGTTTACAAATATACCTTATTTCACATTCCTCTCAGCGACTGTCCAGTTAACTGGCATCATTCCCTGCTAAAGAGTACATTCATAACTTATCCAATAGGATTGTTTTACTGGATTTTCCTGGGATCCTCAAATTAGCTACATGCGAAGAGCTGGACATTTCCCTGAGTTAGCTTAAAAATATCTCATTTATTCATTTTTAAACTAGAGGGAAATCTTTCACAACCTTTTATTGGCTTTTTTGATGTCTTTATGCCTTTACTTTTTTTTTTTTTAATGTAGGCTCCATACCCAGTGTGGAGCTCAATGCAGGGCTTGAACTCACAACCATGAGATTAAAACCTGAGCTGAGATCGAGTCGGACGCTTACCTGACTGAGCCAGCAGGCACCCCTATGCCTTTACTTTTAAAATAAAATGAAATTTGTTTTTTCCCCACAACCACAGGAATTAAAACTTGTTGCAGATTTTAGTGTATTTAAGCATGAGACCTCTACATTTTTCCAATTTCCTTCTCCCTCTTAACTGTGCTAACTGAAACTAATCCAAAGGGAGCTAAACATGAGCAGCAAGAAACATCTTATTTTTTTTTTTAAAGATTTATTTATTTCAGAGAGAGCGCGCGCAAGCATGAGCAGGGGGAGGGGCAGAGGGAGAAGCAGACTCTTGGCCGAGTAGGGAGCCCAATGCGGGGCTCGATCCCAGGATCCTGGGATCAAGATCCAAGCCGAAGGCAGACGCTTAACTGACTGAGCCACCCAGGTGCCCCACACCTTATTTTTCTGTACCATAGTGAAGAAAATAAGTCCATGTCTTTCCTAATCATGAACTGTGAGCCTACAATCTGTAAGAATATAAAGGTACTTTGTAAAAAGAATGAAAACAGAATTTTTTGGCCAAACAAGACAATGTTTTAGTCTTTACACTGCCTTTCTATGGGCTGTGACATAAAACAATCACAGAACTTTCTGACCATTGGCTGGCGCTGACAAAATTATCAGGACTACTACCTTTTCCAGACCAACGACACTGAAAGAGTTAGAATCCTGGCTCTCCCGGAAATGTAGCTATCGTCTCTGTGATCCGCCATTTTCCCTGAAACAACTGCCGGTGAACAACAACTGCAGTACACCGTTCCATAGCATTATCCAGGCCACCTTTTCAACAAGAAGTCTGACCAGCAGGTCACTAAGTCCCTAGAGTAGGTCTGCACTTAAGATGTTTGTCCCTGTTCCCCCAAACTATATGTGGCACTAGAAGAAGGTGATATATTGCAAATACGGCCCTATTTTTACTGAGTGGTTTTTCTTATACAATTATAGAGCCAATAGGGAGAGATTAAGGAGCCATCCAAATCTACCAAGCTGGAAAACAGGAGCCCACCATGGGGAGTTAAGACTTTATTCCATTTTTTAAAACTCACCAGAGGAAGATCTTTGACAGTTTCCCTTTCTAAATCAGTTAGCAGTCACTAACGGAAAGATAACATTGTTTTAAATTCCTTTAGTACTGATCTTTTGTCTGTAGCCATGGAGATTAGATGATCTATCATCACAGAAGACCCCTTCATTTGAAAATAGTAGTCAGAAACTGCATACTTCATCAGAGTCATTCCCATTTAAGACCTACAAAAGGCTTAGTTTTAAAGAAAAATAAATAAGAGTTTCTCTGTACCCTGAACTTTGCTTATAAAAAAAGTCTATGTTACCCTTAGTAAATGAATTTTTAAATGAAAAAAAAAAAAAACCAAAAAACTGACAAGGGCAATAAATATAATGCCCCGACTAAGGTACCATCTTAATTTAGATTAAGCACAATGCAACCCAAAAATTATTTGAGAGATTTGGTAGGACTAATCAAGAAACACTGTGATCAAAATGAGATGATCTAATCAGAGCTCTAAACATTGGCTAATTTTTTTTTCAACAAATGAAACCTTTTGGTTCGTATATCAACATGTAACTGTGTTTTATCATTCTTCCTTCTTGGAGTTAGCTGCTAGCCATCATTCTTGTTACATACCTAAGGTTTAGTGCTTTGAATGTTGTTGGCTGCTAAATAACCATCAGAGGAGTCTGCCTTTTCCCCTTGCCCTCGAGTAGCAAGTAGAATTTATACTTTCTTTTTCTAAAAATCCACAGAGCATGTGTGTGGTGTGTGGAGTGGTGTGGAGATCTGTCCCATCTAGTAGGTTGCTAATCTCTATGCCACATCCTTTAGGGAGAGGAAGCAAAAAGCATTCCTGGTGAATCTGTCACAGAAGAGCAATTTACTGATGAAGAAGGCAACCTCATCACCAGAAAAGTAATCATCATTAGGATTTTATGCTTCTCTTGGAATTTAGATTTCCTACTGTTTGTTTGCTGTAGTGTCACCTCTTAAAATAGAAAACAGGAAAATCTCTACTTCTCACTATTGCTTCCTACAGATCACTCGGAAAATAATAAGACGAATTGCTATCCCACAAGAGAGAAAACATGATGACATGGTAATGGAGAGGGGCCGCCAAAGAAAAAGTAGAGGATAATTGCTTTGTGAACTTTCTAGAACATGCTGCTAACAGGCTGGCATCTGCAGTGTGGCAGCTTGAAGTGTTTGCTGCTTTTGACAACCTGTGCATTTGATCAGGGTCAAGGAAAAAGACTTTTCTTCTTAACCTTCTTTAACATTATATATTTTTTACTGTCTTCAGAGTTTTCACAGAGATAAGTTCATTTATGGAGGGTAGAATGTGCTGGTCCAAGCATGTAAGAGAAATAAAATAAAAACCCTCTATCACCACCAGCCCCCTGGGCAGTGCCCCCCCCCCCTGCCAGCCCCCCCGCCTCCGCCTTTACCTTGCCTGCTGCCTGGCCTGGGACCAGGACAGAGGGCGCTCACTTCAGCAAATGTACAGGGTTTAAATGTTAGAATGGCAAAAAAGCTCAGTTCAGGATCCTTACATCAAATCTATACATTTTCCCTTTCCAGTATGTTCTACAGGGAAATCTGAATTCCCTCCTCTTAACCTGAGGGGGGTTCTCCTCTTTGGGTTTATAACAGTCCATTTCCAGTGTGCAGGTGAAAGAACTAAACTCACCGCTGCGCAGTGTAACTCAGCAAATGCTTCTCCATCTCCCAGACAAAACACCTCTGGTTGTCATTTCTTTCCTTTTCTCAGATCTTTACCCTTTTCATTTTGAAAATAGAAACTCCAATAGCCTGTGTTTACGTAAGAAAAAGTGAACTGAAAATTTCTCAAGACTAACTCAGAAAAGTGGAAAGGCTACTGCGTTTCTGTCATAAAGCGGGTAAAAGTGGAGGATTTGTACAACCTTGCTCTTGGAGAAAAGTGTCCCTGGTGCTCAATGAAGAGAGGTCTTGTTTTATGGAAAATGGATGCCTGGTTGGAGTAAGAGGAGGGGGCTGGTAATTCCACAGATTAAAAGAAAAAAAGTCCCTCAGATCAACATTTCCATGGTGTTTAGTTCATGATTGGTGCTTTCCTGAGAGATTTTAGTCTCGACACAACAGATCCCTTAAAATTCTGTTGGCTTAAGAAGAAATAAATTATAATTTAATAATATTTTTTTAAAATTGGGGTTTGGGTGCCTTGAGGGCTTTGGTGATGATTACTACAAGAAGTGAACAGGCTACTCATTTTTTTAAATTTATCACTAACCTTTTTTAAAATTTTACTATTTATTATTTTTATTATCACTAACCTTTTATTTATCACTAACCTACTGAGTTCTTGTGAAGCATAGTTATGTTACTGTATTCATTCTGACGGTGCTCTCTAGCTTGCCTCCATGATGCTAGGCTGTGTGGTTAAGCCAAATAGATTGATTGCATGTATTTTGGGACATGAAGTGACAGTGCTTTCAACTGTGTTTCACTTACCCTAATCCAGCCTCAAGGGACCAGAATGGGAACCGCTGTATAATTAAAACTCTTTTACTATGGAATCTTAATGCGTACATTCCTTTTTACAGCAGGGAGAAGGTTATAAGGTGAAGACAACAAAGAAGGAAATCCGGCATGTGGAAAAGAAGAGCCATTCATAACAGTAAACGGTTAGTCAAGGCGATAGGTGTGTTCATACCGGCAACAGTCGGCCTTAACTTCCTATGAAACCTCTCATTTCACTGGATAAGTGATTCCGATCTCCTTGCCCCCCTCCCTCTGTTTTTCACTGAATTCCAGCTTTGAATACCCAGTGTGAAGTTGGAGTTATTTTTCTCTTTATGTACACATCCATACACACACTAAAACTCAGTTCACAGTCCATAAACTTTCTCCTCACAAATTAGTCAGGAATTTAAATGTAAATGGTGTTTGCAGAAGCAAATGTAAATAGTGACATTTGAGTCTCCTCTAAGAGCTGAGGCTCAGCGTGCAATGTTTTAGCATTCTACAACTAACAGAACTATCTGGCAACAAATAATTCTAACAGATGTGCTCTGATCCAGCCTTTCACCGTTTTAGCAGAACGGCATCTGACAATTTAATTTTGGTTGAAGTATAGTGGTTGCCAAGTTTAAATGAAATGACTGAGATCCCTATATACTACTTGGTGTATCTTATATAAACCAAAGCAAATTAAATAGAAGGTTAATGGACTACTATTTTTTTGAAAGTTAAATGTTTGGTAAGCTTTGTGTGAATTGAACTTTTCCTCATAGGTGAGGATATTTTCTTTAACATTGTTTTCTAAATTTTACATTGTCCTATTATTTTCTACATAGCTATAATTAGGAAAGGTCACTTGAAAGGTGAAAAAGCAGATGGAGCTTTGAAAAGAAATTTGAAAACCTCGCTAAGTCTGTGAGGTGAAGTGGCATGATTTCTTGAGGGCTGCATACGAACGGTTGTCTTAGCCCTGTTGGTCCAAATGAAAAGAATAAATTCCAGTTTGCACTTGCATACATCTTCTGTCCCCCAATTACCAGAATCCTGGTGTTGAGTGTGGAGGTGAGGAACTGAGAAATCTTTGTCTCATTGCCCTGAATTTTGTAGGTGAGGTAACTAAGGCCCAGATAAACTTTTTTTATTTTTTATTTTAATTCCAGTTAGTTAACATAGTGTGATACTGGTTTCGGGTGTACGATATAGTGATTCAATATTTCCACACCCGATGCTCATCACAACAAGTGCCGTCCTTAATCCCCATCACCTATTTCACCCATCCCCCCACCCACCTCCCCGCTGCTAACCATCAGTTTGTTCTCCATAGTTCAGAGTCTGTTTCCTGGTTTGCCTCTCTCTTCCTTTTTTTTTCCCCACTTGCTCATTTGTTTTGTTTCTTAAAGTCCACATATGAGTAAAATCATATGGTATTTGTGTTTCTCTGGCTTATTTTGCTTAGCATAATACTCTCTAGCTCCATGTTGCAAATGACAAGATTTTACTCTTTTTTATGAATGAGTAATATTCCATTGTGTATATATACCACATCTTTTTTTTTTTTCCCCTCAGATTTAGGATTGGGGTGAGGGTATGCGCCTGTTACTGCAGGCCCAGATAAATTTCTAACCCCTCCCTCTCAAAAAACCTTACCATGTGTTTATTCATGCCAAGATTTATTTCACTTCCTTTCATGAGGCTTTCTGCATAGGTACTGAGAAACTCTTAGTAAACAACTTCGTGTGGTACTTGCCCTCCCTGAGCTTACATTGTGGAGATTTAATGTTAACTCGTCCTAATTGATCATATCCGTATTTACTGGCACTGAGACAACTACCAAGAACTGCAGAACATTCTGGAAATAATCATATTTACTACATATCACGCCTCCAAGTGTTCCATCCCGCTCTTCATTTAATTCTCACAGCCAACCCTTTTGGAGAGATGCCCTTATTATCCCCATGTCAGAGGGGAGGAAACAGGGCCCAAATTGCCCAATGTCACATAAATTAAAAGTGGCAGAAATAGGATACCAACCTGCCACCAGAGCCAACACTCTCAACCACATTGACGGGAGACCTGACCCGGGTCTGAAGTGACAGACAGGGATTCCCTGAGAAACAATGTTTGAGCTCAGTTTAAAGGACTGCACGGGACGTGACTGGGTGGAGGAGGGGAGTTGGACGGTGTCTAGGGTAGCCCTCCAGGCAAATAGCAGCACCCTGCAAAGACCAGACCGGGGGGGGGGGGGGGTGTGCAGGAAGGGAGGAGCCATGAGAACAGGTCAGTTTAGCTGGCAGAGAGTTTGGCCCTTGGGTCTGCAGAGAGTGGAAAGTTGGGAGTTTTCAGGCCTCATGAGCCTCTCTCTAGGGATTCTGGCCTGTCACTAAAAGCAGAAGGAAAGCTGTGCAAAGCGTCGGGGTGGGGCGGGGTGTGATTGAATGTACATTCTGCATCACTCGCTCGAGGGGCAAGCAGAGAATGCACCGGAGGTGGCCATCACGGATGAGCAGAAAACCGAATAGGAAACTATATAGACGCTGGCTTGGGCTGTGAGGATAATGACAGGCAGGCTGAATCAGGAGACACCAACATGGCTTGCTTTTCACGCAGGGTGAGGGACAGGAGAAAATGACCCACGGCATCTGTGCCGCAGTATCTAGAACAGACCCACTTCTCGTGCATGCCTGACAGCCCAACCTGGGGCAAGACACGTGTACGCACAGTAGCTGCATAAAACGCTAAGTGTGAGTCCGCGGTCTTGAGTTGGTCTGCAGAAGCGGTTATAAGTGATACGTGAAATGAATCTAGAAGAGAGTTCAGTCAACTTCAATATGCGCCTCAGAGTTTGCCCGCTGGTTCGGTCAGCGTCAGACTCTGGGTGGTAAAGGACCAAGGCGGTCGCCCCTACCAGCTGAGCCATTTTTCTAGAGCCACATATACCCAGTATCTATGAGTAAATGACGCCAAAAAAATAGAACCGTGCTATTCTTCTAGGTCCTTCTGAGTAAATGAATACAGACAGGACAGGGTCACTAAATGTACAAGAGGCCTTCAAATGACAAATAACCCACCCCGTAAAGAAGTTGTCAGGGCTTTGGCTCACTTGCTCCCCCACTCAAAGAAGAGAGAAATTCAGAGAGAAGTCACAGGAATGTGAAAATAACTCCAGCCTAAAGCAAACTTAATGCGTCAGATGGAAAGAACAGTGATTTGACTGTAAGCCTCACGTTGCTCTCCAGGGTGCTTATTTACCTTCCATAAGTGAACTTAGGAAATGAGTCCAAGAACACCACCTGGATTTCCATGACACTGAATGTGTGCTGCGGAAAAATCAATTTGCAAATATATTGAGAGTTTTTATAGCCCTGCTGCCTGCCCTTTTTTAAAAAAAAAAACTGAGCAAATGGAATGCTGCCAAATTTCACTGAGTCTCAGATGGTGACATCAAAATTTTTATTTTTCATTTTAAAACCAGTTTTATTTTGAGCTATCTGAACCCTGCACCCGCTTTTCTTTAATACCAAGTCACAGCCATCCTGTTTTTAATGTTTTTAAGGGAAAAGCAAATGGCTTACAACAGCTATACAGATTTGTACATAGTATGCACAAATGTACTAGAATGTACTAGTATGTAGTGATTTGTAGTTTACAAACTGCTTTTACATTTTTGTCTTATTGTATCCTTCAAACAAGCCTCTAGAGAGGTCAGGCCAGTTTTGTTTGCTACCTTCTACAGATGAATATTCCAAGACTCAGAGAGGTCAATGACATTTCTACTGTCATACAGCTCGATTGGTAGAACTAGGACCTGAACTCAAGATGATTGATTCTCCACCTACTGCCCTTTCTATTGCACTTAGCTGTGTTACTGAAATTATTTATGAATAATAGTCATGATATAGCAAATGATTGCGTATGCCAAGTAGTAGGTAAGATCATTACATACATTACCACATATAATCCCCAAAACAATGCTATAAGGTAAGTGCTACTATCTTTTTTATTAATGAGGAGACTGAGGTTGAGAAAAGTTAAATGATTTACTCCAGGTCCTATAGAGCTGACGAACAAAAGAATGAAATTTGAACTTATCCAGAACCTAAGTTCTTAACTATTACCCGTATTCATAGTTAATTAGTATTTGATGGTGATTAAAGAACTAAAAGCAAATTTGAATCAAATAGATGTCCATAGGCAAACTGTAGTAAACGTCTTCATATTTTACACAATGAAAATACTCAGATTTTTGTTCTTTTTTAAAATAAAGTAGAACTTCATTTTTAAGGTAGCCATAATCCCCAAATGTTTACTTCATAAATACCATTAGAGGGCTGATTAGTGAGGTTGTAGCAAGGGAAGGTCCCCAGATAGAAACCATAAAGGACTGTGGACCAGCTGTGTGCCACACCTCTTTGCGGGAAATGCTCAGGATCTCACGGCCAGATGGAAGCTGAGTGTGAAAGAGTACCCCGCTTGCCAGAGGCAACACTTCTTCTGAGCCAGAAAGTTGATTCATTTTTTTCATTCCTTCAAAACATATTTGAGCTTCCACCTGTCTGAAAGTGGAAAGCGAGATGTACAATGGTGAAGAAAACTTCCACGGTCCCTGCCCTTCCCAATGTCTCATCCCACAAGGGGGAGCGAGATGGGACAGATGTTTAAGGGCTGAAAATATAAAATCCAAGTGCCAATACAAGAATAATGCAGAAACGTAGTTAGACCTTTGGCAGGTGGGGAAGGTCGCTCAGAAGTTATGACAAGGGCTAGGACCTGGGCAGTGGTTTTAGGAAAATCAACAGGTGGATTAGCTTGGGGGGAGGATGAGAAGAAGGGTTGAGTCAAGAATGACTCCCAGGTTTCTGGCTTACACAACTGGGTAGTAAAGAAAGGAACAGACGCAGGATGGGTTTTAAAAAGAACATCAAGCACTGAGGCTTGGACTTGGGTTTGAGGGTGCTTATGAGCCATCCAAGTACTGTATTAGATGCACAAGTCTGGAGCTCCGCAGAAAGGTTGGGGCCGCACCTATAAAAATGTAAGAGTTCTCACTAAAGAGATAAATGTTGAATACCAGAGAACAGATGTGATCATCTAGGGAGAGGGTCAAACGGAGTAAAGAAGGAGCTCAGGATTGAGTCCTGAGGAATAAGATTTTAAAGAGGAATAG